GCAATAAAGACATTTTAATACTTTCAAAGGAAATACATCTAAATGAATTATGCTAGCTAATTATTTCCTAGGTTACCTATCTTCCTCCTCACATAATTTACAAGCAAGTCAAAATCTATTTCTTCTGTTAAATGACTTTTTAGAAAAGCTAGTTAAGCATAGACACTTTTACTCCTTTCCTCTATACCTATCATGTATAAATATATATCTATTTAAGATTAATTTCATAGTTTTATAGATTCATTCCAGAGATTAGTTTCTCAAGCCAACAGTCATTTTAAGATTGTAAAATAGAAAGCAACCAAAGAAATCTGCCAAAATTCAGTGAAATGGTGGCAAATAAGAGAAATAATAGGTACTTGATATTTATGATGTACAACACACTATTACATTTCAATAAAACAAACCACCCATTAACAAAGTGTGCAATAAACAAGTAAATTCTTCTCTTGAAATAAAACAATTCTAAATTCCAAAACAACTACATACAGAACTTCTCAAACTAATTGGTATTAAAATGCAAATAAAATTTGAGATATCACTTTTCAAATCAGGTTGTAAAACATTAATAATATTAATAGCAGGAGATAAAGTTTAATGGTACAGCCATACAGAGTTGCCTCAAATGCACAAGGTAAAAAGCCACATAGAATTTATGAGATTTCTTCTTTTTTTTTGAATTTTATTTTAAAGATAATAACACCTAACAAAATAAAACAGAAAAAAGTCAATCAAAGCAAAACAATGAAAGTGATACAGGACTCCAAAACATGATACTAGGAAATCAACAATGGCTACCTTACTATATCTTGTTATCCTCAAAATAGCTACCCAAACCATCACATATAATAAAATAAAACCAAACAAAACAATGAAACTGTTACAGAATTTCAAAATAAAATAATAGGAAATTAACAATCGGTACCATGATGCTTCTTGTTATATTCAAAATAACTGTCCAGATCACCAGACACAGGCACGCGAAATTAACCAAACAGTACTAAGCTGCTTGTTTACTTCAGTTATCTTTTCAGAAATTTTAGGTGTGTGATCTCTAATTTTTACCACTTCTGTGTCTCCTGAACTTGTTCTGTGTAGATTGTAGCCCTGAGATTGTGTTCTGTTCTTTCCTCTTGACATTTTCCTGTGTACTTCCTAATCAGCCCACTGCTGCATCTTGATGCTTCCTGCATTGGCTGCCAGTCCCTTGGAGTAATGGATTGGACTAGGCATTTGGATTCGTAGAGTGGTAGAACAGTGCAGGGTGGTGGTGAACAGATCGTTCTCTTCCTTGGAGGCAGGGCCTTCCTTTTGTTCTTTTTGTTCCCAGGTTTGGTTCAGCTCTGATATATCCTTGCTGATTTCCTGTCTAGTTGATTATGAGATTACATTCAAGTGATATCAACTGGTCCTGCTGATAAGGTTTTTATCTAAATTCCATGCTAACCGAATACTTTAAAAAACAGAATACCACCGGTAAAAATTGTCCTAGAATCTGTTATGTAAATTGCTGATTAATGTTTACTGTTATTTTTTGGATCTTAAATGTCTCTCCAAAACCATGTGCTGGAGGTGTGGTCACACATCAGTGGCACTATTAGGGAGTGGAAACCTTTAGGAGGTGGGACCTTGTAGGTAAAATTCAGTTCTTTAGTGTCATTCCCTTGAAGGAGACGTGAGACCTCGGTGCTTTCTCTTTTATTTGTTTCCTGGCTGCCATAAAGTGAACAGTTTTACTACAGGACATACTGCCCCCCACCATAATGTTCTAACATGTTGCAGACTCAAAAGCAATGAAGTCAATTGATCATGCACTAAAATATCTGAAACTCTGACTCAAAATGAATCTTCCCTCTTTATATACTATGTATATTAGATATGTGTTCACAATGACCGAAAGTTGACTGACACATCTATCAACACATAATTTAAGAGAAGTCATTGAAGACACTTTTTTGCCTTGCAGGGTGCCTTCTGTCTCCATGGAAATTTTATGCTCTATGCTGTATTCCGACATGTAGCTCAAGGGCCCAAAACTGTGTAGTATGTAGTACTTTGTATATGATCCTCAAATAATTTTTGAATAAATTATCATTACCTTCTCTGTTATTGCTCCTTAAGATGATTGCACTCTGTATTAGAAAGTTGAGGTGGAGAATTGTGATGATTATGAAGCAAGTAAGAGACTAAAATCTAATAATTTAAATGATTGTTCTTCATTTCATATCTTAGAAAGTTCAGCCTCAAGGACAGAAAGTAATGATGTGTTCTCACAAGTCTTCATTCAATGGCATTTAGTTGCATAGTTCCTAAAATCACTCCAGAAAGAATCCACGTTATTATGCTTGTAGCTTTCTGGTAATCAAGGCCATTAAAACTCAAAGCTCATTCATAGACAGTAAGAAGTAGGGAAGGAGGTAAACAGTATTGAATGCTATGCTTTGTGCACAGAGCTTTTATGAATGAGCTAATGAATGAAAAAACATGAGTGCTTAAAAGTTGCAGATCCAGAGTCTCTTTGAATGTTTCCAGAGTATTTTAAACATCAGAGTTTGGATACCAGGTAATGTGAGAGCAGCTGGAATTGCCTTGACTTGAGGAAAAAAAAAAAAAAAACTCCATGAAATCTGGTATTTTGAGCTGGGTATACATTTAACACAAACTTTCAAGACCACCAAAATGTTACATCTGGGCGGGTTTTAAAAACATTTAGTGCTTTCAAGAAGAAACAGAAAAAATAAAGCCTCTATAATAGTAATTGTACTATTTTAAACTATCAAAAATCACAAGAGGTTTAAAATTGAGATAACTCCTTTTAAGGAAATAATGAGCACGTACTAAGGAAAGCAGCTATGGCATCATTTTAATGGTTGATTTTACTGAAAGTGCAACGTCAGCACGCTCCTTCCAAGGACCTTTTGGGATTGCTTCATCTCTTGTTCTTCTGTCTTTCTTGTGTTTTGTTGTTTTCTTTTCTGTTTTTCCTCTCGTCCTGATTTTGTATGTATACAAATACACACAACTCTTCTTTATCCTTCTTTCATCTATCTATTTCTCACTCTGTTTTGCTTTCTGTATACACACACACACACACACACACACACACACATGTGCATAGGACTCAGGAAGCGTGAGGGGGAGGCATAGGATAAGAGAAATTGCATCTGTGGTTAGTAACTTTGATATTTCAGGAGAAACTTCTGCTTCAGGAAGCTGCAGCATGTGTAAAGATCTACTAGTGTATTAATGAATCTCCTTGAAAGCCAGCATTAATTGCTTGGACCTCCTACAAAATCATTTGGAAGCCAGAAATGGTGGTAGAGTCCTATAATCCTCGCACTCATGAAGTACAGGTTGATCAGATCTGACCATGATGCTTACATAAATCTAATTGTGGCATTTTTTTCCCTGAAAATACAAAATTAAGATAGGTGTGGTGGCACGTGGTCTGATCTATAATCACAGATACTCAGGAGTCTGAGGCAAGATTATAAAATTGAACCTACTGTAGGAAATTGCAAAGCCCTGTCTCAAGGTAACACATGAAAAACAACCAATGATCTAGTTCAAGGTAAAGACCCTGGGTTCAATTCCCATTCCACCAACAAAATCAATTGGAAATGAAGGGAAATTTTTTTATGAATATATTATATAGTTATCTGTGTAAGAAGATGAACTCAAAGCACTGCTGAAAGGACAGGAATAAAAGTAGGGGAACTAAGCTATCATTTATCTTTTTGGTCCCGGTTTCAAACAACATCTCAATAAGCTTCTGTTTGGAATTTATTTTTCTCTTTCCAGAATTCTCTGAAAATGTGTAATTCTCTATTATACCCTTAAAAATCTCAGGTTCTTATCTGAGTTACTTGTCTATGTTTCTGCTGTCTCCTAAATTGTGATCACATAGACAGAAGGACTAGGGCATTTTTTCCATTGTTTTCCCAGGATAGCGTCCAGCCTATAAAACTCACATAATTACATGAGTCAGAGTCAATGCTGACATCTGCATAATTTGATTAAATTCACCTTTAAAACCACTAACGTGGGCCAAGGATATAGCTCAGCAGCATAAGTGCCTGCCAGGCAAGTGGAAGGTCCTGAGTTCAATTCCTGGTATCAAAAAAAATCAATGAAGTAATAATATTATCACACTGAGATTCAATGATACAATTACACAAAAAGTTAGAGTACTATCCAAGAAGTTGTTGGATGTATTGCACTGTGAATGCCAGTCAACATCATCAGTTACTAAGTACTGGGACAAGTAGTAACAATATAGAAATAGCGTAAGTTTCAAACTTAGACACATTCTATATTTAGAACTCCAGATAATAATGCTAGACTCTTAACTATGTCAAGTAACATTGGTTCATTTTACCATTTCGCTTAAGCCAGAGGATCAGATTTCAGATGCCAGAGTTTGAAACTTCAGCAGGACGAAGAATTTACTGGGATCAGCCTTAGTAAATCACAGATTTTATTTTACTATTTATTTGCTTTGCAAGTAAGATTATCTTTGCAGAAGACTTGTCCTAGCAAGCAGTTCAGAAAATAAAAATCTTCAAGTTCATAGGATCTAAAAGGAGTTAGGCCAGTTACTATTCCAGAAACCCAAAGCAGAGGAAATTAATTTGTGCCTTTCTTCTGCTCTTTCTGCAATTTTCTCACATGTCCCTCGTTTTTAGCCTTTCTAGCTTTTCTTCTGTATCAACCTAATTATCAATAGTCATTTGCTAGTATTCATCATCCATAGTACGTGGTAGCAATGTAGAGAAAAATTCCATCAAGCCAGTAAAATGATGTAGCATAATTTTTGCTTTTCATCTTTTTATCAGGTCTATTCCACAACCAATCATAAGCAGGCAGCAAATATTTGAGCTTTACCTGTCTGTCAATTAAAGAACTACTGTGTTAACTAAAGTTAAAATAGGGTATGTAACCTCATGTTTTGTTAGAGCAAAGACATTATTCTTATATAATACAGATAATACCCACACAAGTTGTTAAAATATACAACAATTTATTATATGTGATTTAAAATATCTGTAGTGAAAAAAGTTTATTTTCTAAAAGATCAGTGAATCATCTGATACACACTTGTCATGAATGGTAGTTCAGGAGTGAAAAAAACTGCCATTTCAACTGCATTGCTAACAAGTATGTCACAATCTTACCTTCCATCTTTGACTATAAAGCATAGTATTTCACTATGTCTGTCTGTGGTTATCTTCCTGTTAAAAATCTGTTCTAGCTTTCACAGATTCTTTTGTTCCTCAACAAATTATATTCAAGTGACTTATCTCAGTAATTAAAATAGGAACTGAAGGAAAACTGCAAACCACATTTGCTTATTCTCCTTTCTACCACTAAATACTGCTGCCTTTTCTAATCCAGAGCCTGTGAGACCTGTACAACCAAATTTAAGGAATGTGCCCAACCCTGATTTCCACACCCATTCCAAAATAATGGAGTATCTCATCGTCATAGATCTAGTTCCCAAGAAGCAAGATTCATGTGCTGCTCTCAAGGCAACATTTCCCTTTTATTTTCTAATTCATTGAAGATGCTGGTTGAAAGATGAAGCCATGTAAGAGAAAGCCATAGCCAAAGTTGTTTCCCCTTACAATTTATTTTGGAATAAAGCATTAAGATCTTCCACTCAACTCACATTCAATAAGCCACCATCTCTTCTGCCTTATCACAAGACTGGTATCAACAATAACAATTAAAAAATCTGCCTATGATCAATAATATTTAATCACATGAGTTTTTGTTTGATTTTATTGATTTGCCTTCTGAGAAAAATAGATATTTAAAATACTAGTCCAGTGACGGCGAAATTAAAATGTACATTTTCAAATAAAATCTAAAGCTATTTCATTTGGTAGCAAAAAATTAATATTTAAAATTTTTGATTCCTTATGTAATTTCTATATGGCAACAAAAGTAAAAATTTGTTAATATTACAGCAGAATTATTTTTCTTGATAAAAACTTCTTAAAATTCCAAGAAGCTTAAAGTACCACAAAATAACCAAGGACTTCACACCGTAGATAAACCCTTCCAACTGTTACAGAAACATAGGTATAATCACACTCTGAAAAGAAATACTGTCAGCAGATTTAAAAAGATGCCTTAAGAACTTTCTGTGTTATTCCAAACTGATGGACATGAGTGAGCTCTAATATCATTATGCTTAGAAACAGCTTCGTCCAGATCCAGTTGTACACCATTGACGTTCACTTCCATGCAGCCATTATAAAAGGCATTCACTGGCATAGCACTGAATGGAATGTCTGTAAAACAGAATATTTGACCAAGTCTTTTAGGATCTTATTTGCACAGCTACCAGAAGTGTTCAGACTTTCCATTTGCAACCAAACTCTTCAAGTAGTTAATACAGTTCTATTCAGTGAATATCTCATGGGCAACACATGCACATACATGTATGCATCTATCTGTATATATTTTACCATGTATAATACTGTGCTTCACACGAACTCAGTGTATCACGAGTTCCTCTGATTTTATAAACAAATTCAGTTCTATTAAAACTGAAGATAAACGAACATCCTTTAAAAAGTCTAAAAAAGCATATACCAATTTGTGATATTCTATATTTACTATAAAAATAATATTTATTATTTTCTTTTTTAAGTTTAAACATCACTTCAAACATTGTTCAATCATTTTATCAACTCCTAATTATACTTACTTGGAAATGTGTTTTAGGATAAATATATATATATTATTATTGCTAAAAATGAGAGCAGATTTTTACATTTTCCAAGAAATAAGTTTCTTGTTGAATACACCAGGAAGGCATAACAGAGGATTCATATTATGCAATAACATTGTTCTAAAAATAACAATTTTAAGAATTACAATTAAATAGGACAATTTTAGGGTCTTGGGTTTTTCCCTTTCTTCATAAAACAATACTAAAGCACAAACCTTAGATTCCTGAAAACTGTGGTTCATTAAAATAATCATCTTCTACTTGCTTCTTCTTTTTTGAGGAATCCTCATAAATGTTCACAATGGATATTTATTAGTTCTCACTCTTCTTTCTTAGTACTTTATGCCAAAAATAAATACTTCAACTTTCCTACTTCTAATTTGCCAATAGAATACTTTTCTAACTTGTCAATGAAGTCAATACTTTTGTATAATAGCATACTTTAAACATCCTTTTCAATTCAACTAAGCATTATCTATTATACTACTAATTTTTAAAAATTCTCTTATCCTTAGAATATATAATTACTAATCATTTACAACCAAATAGACTGTGCATGGTGGTGAATGTCTGTAATCCCAGCATTTGGGAGGCTGAGGCAGAAGGATCACCGTAAATTCAAGGCCAGCCTCGTCTACATAATAAGACCCTGTCTCAAAAGATAAAGAACTCTCAACACCAAAATACCTAAAAGTATTTTTTTAAAAATCCTCAGAATTTCTGCCATGTTCTACTTCTTAATCTGCAATTTAAGATGTCTATTTTTAGGTTAGTAATTTTTCCATCTGATATTTTATCTTAATTTTTCCTCACTCTTTGTTTTAACACTTCTTCCTTGAATTCAGTCTTTAGTATTATTATAAAGTGTCAGAATACCTAAAGTTTGGTATTTTTACATCATTTAAATGCCTTCATTGTTTTTTTTTTTTTTGGTTCACTAAAATTGGATGCCACTAGTTTGTGAATAAGGTAGTAGACAGTTTTCCGTACAGAACTTATTACTTTAATTGTAATTATGCTTCCTAATGATTAACTATGCTAACCTTAACTACTTGAATTCCCTCTTGCGATCTCTTTCTGTATAACTTTTGGAGTTTATTTCCTTTTACTGCCACCAAACCCTGATTAAATGACATATGTGGAAAATTAATAACCTGAGCACTTAGTGCAATATAATGAAGGTTACTAGAAATCCAGAAGGTTACTAGAAACTCAGAATTCTCCTCATGAACATAATCTGCAACTAGTACCAGAAAATGGTTCTAAGTAACTTTCTGTCTCTTTTTTATCATTGAAAGCATAATAGGGGGCTGGGGATCTAGCTCAGCGGCATAAGCACCTGCCTTGCAAGCAGGTAGTCGTGAGTTCGATCCCTGGTACCGACAAAATGGAAAAAGACAAAAAAAAAAAGCAAAATGGAGGCATTAATTTAACAATTGCCAATGTTAAATTAAAGATGAATCTGCTTTTGCTCTAGTTTCCCCCATTTTAATAAAGGGAATCCTCAGAGTACAACTGCTTATGCCAGATACGTAAGAGTTATCGATTTACCTGTCTTCCAATTATTTTCTTTTATTTTCTCACTTTTATTTCTAATCTACTCAGTGTGTGCTGTCTCCTCTGTCCTTACCCTAATTCAGCAGCTTCCATGTTTTTCTCATCTATAAAAGGGAGATAATGGTACCTTCCTCACTACTTTGAAAATTTAGTGTGTTGATACATTTGAAGAACATGGTATAGTCTTCAGACTCTCCATTAATTGATGATCATGTGATTATTGCTGCTATGATTACTACTACTTCATCTAATTGTTCAGCAGCCTCACAACTCAGTTTGTACTGCTTTTTGCCTTAGACCTCTATTCAGTTTTTAAAATTGTACTACTGAAATACAACTTCCTTGTCTAAAATATTTTAATGATTCATATATCTTTCATAATATGACCCTGCACTAGGTCTTCAAGCCTTCTACCCACCATCCAACTCACACGCTCACCCTGCAGGACCACGTCACTTGCTGAACATGCTTTACATGGGTGGACCTCTTACATATTTCTCATACATGTCATGCTTTGCCACTTTGCCTACACATGGACTTTTTACCACGTACACTAATCTCTGCGCCTATACCTAGTTAAATTAATTTACTCCTTCAAATATTAGATTTGTATCTTGGTGTCTTATTAAGGCCATTTTTCAGGGCCTCCACAACTGAGTCAAGTCAACATTTCAAGCTCTAAAAGCAATCCCACTTTCCCTTCATAGATGTGACCACAATTTTAGTTATTTTAGTTTTTCCTAAATCAGCTGTTTTAGATTGGCTGTTGTCACTAGATTGTAAAAGCTGAACTGTAGGAATCATATTCATTTGCTTATTACTTTAACCTTAGTAACTAGGATATAAATTCTTTTTTTTTTCTTTGTACCAGGAATTGAACTCAGGACCTTGTGCTTGCCAGGCAGGCACTGTGTCACTGAGCTATGTCCCTGGCCCCCATAAATTTTTAATAAATAATAGATGAGTTAAATAATGAGTGAAGAAATATTTGATAAGTTGATGAATAAGTTTAAGAATAAATATTGAATTGATAAGACTCTTGTGAAGATGAAATGAAATGAAATCCCCTCTGGCTGTGACAGCCAAATACAGCAAAAGCTGATTAGCTTCAGTTCACCACTGAAAAAAAGAATGAGCTTTTCCAAGGGTAATGCTGTGTGTGGAAGTCATAGTGGTTCCCATCTATGCCAAACCTGGCCTTTCTTTGCTTCTGCAAAGACGAAGAGTTTAAAAGCAATGGATGGAGTCAATCCAGGATCTGGGCAGTCCCCAAAACAGGAGAGATAGTATAATCGTCAGTCTGCCTTATATTTGTTCTAAAGTTAAATTCAAGTGTATGCAGCCATGGTGCTCTAAGGCCATTTAGGATTAAAGTTGTTGGCTGTGGACTGTGAAAACAGTCCATATGAAAATTCATCATCTTAGGATGTTGACATAAAGGATTTTCATGAAGAAATTTCCAAAAATGGTACATTTTCAGTCTAACTTTCTGAGGCTGGAAATGGACCTTGGATAGCTTGGACCTTGGATAACATTATGAGGGCCATCTTGGATAATGGACCTTGGATAATGGACCTTGGATAACATTATGAGGGCCATCTTGGTTCCAGACTTGGGCCTGGACCCAAAATGTATCATTCATGTATTTGTGGTATCAGACAGCATGCAGAACTTTTTAAAAGGTTATCTCCCAATGACGCTGGACCAGATCACACCAGCCTGCTTCTTCTAATGTCTGTAAAACCATCAAAATAGAATCATTTAAGAGTTCTTGGCCTCTGCTCATCCTGAGGTACTGACCTCCCAGCACCCTATCAGACATTACTAAATTTGTCTCTCTTATTTCATCTTTTCGCCATACTCCTCATAGACAGTTAGGGATCCTGGCCAGGCCCTCTATACCTGGTCCCCGAACAAGTACATCTGGATTAGGCCTAGAGGGAATATCCACCTGAGTGGAAAGAAGGGGACCCCGCAAGTCGAATTCTGGGAAGTCCAAATAGAAAGTAGAGGACTGTTTCTGACAGCGGTCAGCTTGTGTCCATGTGTCTGTGATGAGGGAGACAGAATGTCTGAGCTCTGCATGAGATCACCGTAGTGTGGAAAGGTCCCGAGAGGAGTGACCAGGAGAGCAGAGTATGTGGATGGGAACGAGTAAGGACCTATCTTCACTGTCGGGGGGAGTGGAGACCCAGGAGCTCCGTCTGCAAGGCCACACCTTTGCCTTGTGCCCCGCTGCTGGTTTTGGCACCTATACCGATTATGGACTAATGTGATCTTCATTTTATTATTCTGCATGTTAAAGCACTAAATTTCTTACAAAAAAAGTTCTTTGGGTTTCATCAAGGGAACCTTTGGCAGTTAGTAGAGTTAGAGTATAAGAACATTGAGAACCCAGTTCAGGTGGTCAGGGTATAACCTTACATACAGGAAGAACTGCAGAGATTGTAGATTGGAAATGACACATACTCTGTTGGGAGTTTAAAGGGAAACATGTTTAGCTTAGAAAAGCCTCTCTCCTCTCTCCATGGATGTCTTACCAAGCCAGTTTTAAACTGGCTTGGTTTTAAACTTCAAAACACAAATAAAGGTAATGTTTAAATTGGAAAAAAAAAGAAAAAACAAAATGAAGCCAAAATATGTCAGCACAATGTCAGTCCAAACACCTAGAAAGATAATAATGAACACTAGAATTCTATCTTCCTCTCTGGTACCTCTATATTAAAATTGTGGATTTAAAATATCATAAATTTGATTACAAATATACTTTTTAAACTGAAGAAAAAGTCAGCGCATACCTGGAATGCCTCCCAGATAAGTGGCCACTGTTCCTTTCATTGCTTCATCCAAGATGGCGAGCTTACTTTGAAGGTCTTCAGAGTAAACGACTTTTTCTTTAAATGGAGTCCAGAGCTCCAGATTATTTCTGTTGACCCCGAGTATCACTTGGGATTTTTGACTGGAACACAGACTTACGTCCTCTACTCGACTTACCACTGTATTCTCAACAGACACAATAATATCCTGAGGAATAGAGCAGAGACCCCATATAAGCAAGTAATATCAGAATAGCTATGTGGGTGACTTTTGAGCTTTGAAATTAAAAACTGAATTTAAATGAGTAAAATATAATATATGATAGGACCTCTCTAAGTTTAAATGAAAAAAATTTCTAATGCTGTATTAATTATAATCTACATTTAATTCCTTTATGGTATTGGCAGTTATTTTGAAGATAACATGCGTCCTTATGGCAGCCATTGTTGATTTCCTATTATCTTGTTTTGAAATCCTGTATCACTTTCATTGTTTTGTTTTGATTGACTTTATTGTGTTTCATTTTGTTTGGTTTTATTCTCTTTAAAATAAAATTTTAAAAAAGATTTAATTCTTTCAACTGCATGATTCTAATATTGAAGATAGAAATCCTATCTGTTTTAAAAAAATAAAACAAGCAAAAAAAAAAACCCACCTGAAATCCAAGTGAAGTAAGATCTGAATAGAACAGCAAGAACAAAACAGCAGAAACTCTTCAAATTGCTCAGGTTTAAGAAACAGATCATCCAAATCATCCATCTAAATTGTAAGTAGAACACTACCCCCTTTTTATTACTTTAGGCATTACTCAATTATGTCTCTTTCTAACAGCTACTGAGAGCTTCCAAGAAAAATCTAAGTGTAAACAATAAGCAGCCTGCTGAGATTAGTTGGACTCCACTGTGGATGACACAGAGATAGAACGGCCTCCAATAGAAGGCTGAATAACACAGATCTTCTAATAATTTTCATATTTCCTTATATCCAAGACTTTCCTGTTCTTCCTCCTCATTTCTAAAAGAGTTGTCAGTAAGAATTTGAATAGATAAAAGTAGTTTTCTCTCTCCTGATTCACTCATGTGAGAAAAGATTAAGAGTGAGAGGAAACACAAACCACTACAGTTGAACACGAAACACCTGAGAATGGATTGTTACCAGACTCACTTCTGTTTTGTTAGTACAAAGTAATTCCTACAATACTGCAAGGATTTTGCAAATTCTGCAAATTTGCCTAATCTTAGCTTTAGATGGTAAATTTATGAGTTTCTACTTCCTTTACTACTCCTTTCAAACCTAAGATAGAAGTAATAATATAAATAGTACTAAGGGACTTATATTAATTCTGGAGATTATGCCAAACACTTTTTATAGTTGTCATTAAAGCTTCAAAATATTCCTTCATGGTAAAAAATACAATGCCTATTTTAAAACACAGAGAGAAAGAGAGAGAGAGAGGGAGAGTGAGAGACAGCGCTTATATAGATCATAGATTTAAGTAAATTTACCTGAGAATTTCTAGAGGTGGAGTCTACCACTGATATAGCAAAAGGCACTGTGTTACCGGAAACCAAAGCAAACATAACACCTGTGCCCTCAGATGGGCGAATATTCAAGGTCAGATTGACTTGCCAACCCTCAGCATTTGTTTTGTTATCTGCAATGAAACAGAAGTACAATCAATGGACTTTTAAAGTGAACCAGAAAAATCAGTCACAGCCTGATTAACATCCAGAGACACCCTGTATTATACTAAAGGTTTTTTTTTTTTAATGCAGATAAGAAACATACAAATGAAACCACCCACTTCTGTTCTTCCTAGAATATTGGATTGGTTGGGAATTATGAATTTTTTCTATTTGCTGTTTAATAGCTTTATTTTCTCATTTATTTAATAGCTGCATATATTTAATAGCCGCATTTTCATCAATGTTCAAATATCACAGTGAACATATTTAAAAAACGCACATTTAGAAGAAAAATCAACAAATGTATTATAATAGTGGAGAGACATTGTGAGTACAGCTGTCATTACCACTCTATCATTCCTCATTCTGGAGTAGTTGAGAAATTAAGTATGATCTACACACACTGACCAGTGGGGAAGTTTTGACAGTACAGAAATATTAGCAAGGAATTACTTTTACAAGTAGAAAAGAAACTTTATCCTGTGACTCTCTGGTTACAATACCTCACACTTTTTCTCAATTACAAATTAGCTATCTACCACAATGGAGTGCAAATTAAAGAGGAGCAAGACATTTCTTCATTTAACCACCTCTAACAAACTATATGTATCATTATAATCCTATAATTCCCACTATGAATACATATAATCACCATGAAATGAATAAATTTAACACAAGTTATTAAATTGCATAATTATGCAAATGAATAGAAATTATAGAATTAAACATAAAGTAGGTCACTTTCAAGTTACTGATGAATAAACTTGTTGCTTACAGAAATAGTTTTAAGTGTAATATAAATATTTGCCATACATAGTGCTCACATTCATCATATGGAATTTGCACCTCTCTATAATATATCTTTATTCTTATTTTTCCATTCCCTTCCTCTCTCTGCAAGCCTTCTTCCTTTCTCCATTATAGAAGCTTTGTTTCATTTCAATCCCTATTCCCTTTCTTCTCTTCCTCCTCCCATTTGAATATGTTCTTTGTACTTTCCAATATCTATCTTTCATTTTGCTCCCTTTTTACCCTTTGGGTTTCTCACATAGGAGAAACAATGAAATATTTAAATTTGTGAATCTTATTTATTTCACTTAAAATTATGGTCTTCGGTTATACCCATTTACCTACAAATAATCCAAGTTTAATCTTAATTACTTTTGAAGGCAACAAATAAAAACTGTACTAAGTACTTTTTAAAAGCTACAAATAAGTACATTCAAAATACCATTTTTCTGAAAGCAGAGATATCAGATGTACACTAACTTAATTTATAATGCAGTGTTAATAGCTCAAATAATAAACTCAACAAAGAAAAAGATAATTTTAAAAATAATTAAAATGTATAAACAGCTAAAATATAAGAATAGATATTCACCAGAAATTAGGAAAATAATATTTAAAACTGCAAAGCTTCAGTTTTGAACTACTGGATTGGAAACAAATCTGAACTATAAGCTTTCTCCTACTGGTAGAAGTATTAATTGATTAAAAAAATTTTTTTAAAAAGAAAGAGAATATAATTTATCTTGCAATAATACAGAATCCACCAAAAAATGTGTGCACACTTCAGAAAAAAATCTTGTATAAATATTTTAATACTAAGTTTATTCAGACAACGTAAGATTAATACAAGTTACTTTCGGCTTCTATAATTACAAGAGGTGTCTAATGTAGTGGCTTCAAGACATTTATTAGAATGGCAAACTGCTGCTTGGGAAATCTTGGTCAAAGTATCCACTGAGATTGCTACATATGCATTTTCAGTTTCTTCTCTAAGGGCTGATAGTGTGATATACATAATCTTTTAGGTTCCCCACAGATAAAAGTGTGTATATATTTTTTGGTGGATTCTGTATATATTTGCATGATCTTTGATTGAAATAATCTAAGATTCTTCCTTCAGAATTAATTGCATAGCCAAGTGTGCTAGCACACACCTATGCCCAGCACTCGAGAGGCTGAGGCGGGAGAACTGTTGTGAGTTTGAGAACAGCCTGGTCTTCACAGTGAGCTCAAGGCCAGCCTGAAAGGCATAGTGAGACCCTGTCTCAAAAAGACAAAAAAAAAAAAAAAAATCACATAACAGTACCAAGATGTATTCTCAATGTTTACAGAAGGATTATCTGTAAAGATAAAAACTGAGACAGTCTGACAAGAGTTCCTGCTCCACTTTCCTGTGGAAAATTGGAAAGATCACCGTTCACACCTTTACTCAACAGGGGTCAAATTATCTATGTGATCACAATTTTTATTGAACTATCAATGTTCAATTGATGGTTTCTGAGCAACCAGCAAATCAGAAACCTAAAGAAAGATAAGTGTTTCTAAAGACAGACAGGATGAGACAGAATGAACTGTCATCAGATGACTGTCAACTGACGACATCAGATGGCAGCCATCAGATGTCAAAACATTTGAAAAGAATAATTAAAAATTGGGGCTGGGGATTTAGCTCAGCGGCATAAGCACCTGCCTAGCAAGCAGGCATTCGTGAGTTTGATCCCTGGTACCAATAAAAAGATAAGAATAATTAAAAATTACAAGTTGCAAGGTTCATGTAGGGGCAGGTGGGAAACTACAGAAGCCCTAAGAACTGCAGACCTGAGTGAAATGCCTGTCTACTCAGAAGCTCCCTTCCATGGATCTTACTCCAGAGAAAATCTAGGACAGAGGAAAAAGCTAAAAAGAACATCTCACAGTCCTGGGAGCAACACCAGCCCCAAGAGAGGTACAAAAACATACCCAAACCTTCTGTCTCCTCTACAGAAGAGCCCCAAAGCATTGCAGGAAAGACAGCGAATTTTGACCTTAGGACACACAAAAAGACCAATAATGCCTTGGAAAAATAAACCAAAGAAAAATTGTCTTCCACAGAGGAGGAGGAGGAAAATATCTTGAGTCCTAAGCATTAAATGTCTCCCCTACCTCTTTCAGTGGGATTTTCATACCAATGAACATTCTCTACCTCTGAGGCCAGGGTTATGACAACTGCCCAAGACTAAATGTGTATCAGAACAATAGAGAATGTATCCTCCACCTGTGGGCTCTTGCTACCATGTTGACAAAGGTCAAGTGACAAGAATATTCTTCTGGGGTGAGGAAGACCGTGCTCTCAGAGACCATTTCTTAAGATATACCATAAAAGAAATACCTAAACTGAGTTGCTATTAAGAAACATTTAATCCATGATCCATGATTAAAAATCTGATCCATGATTTTAAAAATGTCTAGCAAAACAGCCCCTACTCTAAGCAGAAACTTACTTGTATTAGCACATTTTCCATAGATATTAAAAACACTTAAAGCAGAGTAATGTACCAAGAAAAAAAGCACACGGATCAGTTTTAGAGGCCTAATGTCTAAGCACCATAGTAGTTCTGTTGAGGGCCTCACAGCAGATGCTACTATGGCAGAAATGCATGCAGGAGGAAAGATCTCCTGGGGAGAAAGGAAACCAGATATCAAGGAATGGTTATTCCTTGATAACTAAATCAGACAAAGGCTCAATTTGTCTGACTGATTCAATCCCTTCTCTCTCTACTGAGTGCTGAGCAAAAAAAGAGGTGTGGTCACTTCCAGAAATATATGTATATATCTCATTCTCTATTTGTTATGATTTATGTCTGGATGGTCCCCCACAAGCCTCATGTAGTCGTGGAGGCAGCTAAAGCTACTGCTTCTGATTGGTTTGTTGTGTAGCACGGGGAATGGTGGTGTGAGTGCTACATCTGCCCAGGGGTGGGTAGCAGACATACAATATAAGAGAGAGAAGGAGGTGTGCTTTTCCCCTCTTTTTTATGCTGTTCCTTCTTCCCGCTTATGGCCACAATGAATGGCTGCCCCTCAACCAGCTATTCAACCTTGGAGCCAGCTGAGTATGGACTGAACCCTCCAAAAAACTTTAAGTTAAACAGATGTTTCCTTCCCCAATCTTAGGCATCAGGTATTTTGCCTCAACAATGAGAAAAAAAAGTAACCAAGATGTTATTATTCTATGTAAATGTAAAGCTCTAAACTAAAACAACATTATCCACAACAACACAAGAAAAAATAACACATAGTTGAGCAACAAAGCATTCAACAAGTCCATGCTCAGAACTGACACACATTTTGGAACTTTAGACAGGAAATTTAAAGTAACTATGATGAATACATTGAAAGCTCAGGCAGACAAGTTGAACAACACGTAGGAACAGATGAAGCAAAATTTTAAGAAGAGATCTAATGGAAAAGGCAGAAATGAAGACAAATCTCTTTAAAGCAGTAGTTGGTAAACTCAAAACTAAGAAATCAGTGAACATTACAATAGGTCAACTGAATCAAGAGATGTAGCACCAAACTTTAAATAATAACAAAAACATAAACACATTCAACTGCTGTCATATTTTCCTAACATGCCAATCATTACAAAAAGTATATAACAATATACATAAGACTATGCCTGGCACACAGCAGATACTAGGTAATGTTTACTGAATAAACTATTGCTATTTGTCATTGAATAATTTAACCATTAATAAGTAAAGACAAAATGGGAATCACTTACTATAATCTATGTTAAACTGAGCAACTCCAGATCCAGGATAATAGGAGCCCTTCTCCACAGTGACAAGGCAATGCTTATTTTGTTTTTCTTGAATAATTTCCTTTGCTCCTAAAGCTCCTTGATTCATCAAATTCCAGCTTCGGATGCATCCATCCAGACGAGGGTTGATCTAACAAGTCGAGAAGGGCATTTTAAACTTATACAAGACAGAATGATAATTGGCTTAATTGATTCTAAGTGTAAGTTTTATTTAGATGGAAGATCCTTTGATGGAATTTTAAAATTTCAAGTATTTTGAATTTAAGCTAGATTTTTCCTTTTGATGTGTCCTTCAGATGGATAGTCTTTTTCAGTAAAAGTGAGTTTATGCCATTGTAGTCCTTCAAGGGGTTCCTAACAATTTTTAACATCTCAAGTCTCACTTGCCTCTTCTGTGTTTTCCAGAACTAAGTATTGTTCCCAGGAAGGCCTGGGCTTCTAAGCTGTTTTCTGCTCTTCTGTATTTGCATTTACAACACAGGTTCATTTTGCTAATCCAGATTCTATTTCTCTTCAGGAACAAAATTATGTACATTCTTTAGCTTTCATCAAAACATTCAACTACATTCAAGGCAGATATAAGCCATTTCATATATGGTTGACTTATTTGAATAATTAATTTAGCTTTAAAAAGTCTTGAATTAATCAATTTCAAAGAATAAGCATGTTCATTTTGACATGAGCTAGTTGATTTAATTCAGATTTAGTATCATATTACTATGGCTCATATCTAGATGCTCCTCAAACATAAGTGGAGCTATGGGGAGTGACTGGATCATGGGTGTTTGATACTGAATTAAATCGCTATTGGTTTAGCATAGTTCTGGGTGTGGTTGTTGGACTTACTAAACAGGGAAGGCATACTCTGGGTATGAGTAGTGCCGACTGATAGCTTGTAGCCTGAATGGAATAAAAAGGGGAAGAAGAAGGAAATACTTCTGCTTCCTGCCTGTCTTGCTATGAGCACCTTCTCCTCAGCATGCCCCTCTGCCAGGTCACCCTGTCTTGGAGCCAGCTGAGTAAAAATAAACATCTCCTCTTTTATATTGTGAGCCATGGATATTTTGCTCCAGCAATGAGAAAGCAACTAAAACACAGCATGTATCATAGAAATCTTTTAAAGTTAAAGTAACTATGAATTGCCATAAATAAAAGATGGTAAATATTTAAGTTAGAACAACAAGTGTGGTAAATAAAATTTTTAAAACCCTTAATCAGTGATTGCTTCTTTCATGAAACCTGTTCTGCAATTATTTGACAAATGTCTTATTCAGGAAATCATATATTATATCTAACTTCAATGTATAATAGTTAGTTATACCCTTGGTTAAAAAAGAAACCCACTTTCCTATAAATAAAGACCAAAATGTGTAATACATATTGTTGAACAGGAAGAAAATTTTCAAATGGGGAGGAGAACAAGGAAGAGGTGAGGAGAAAAGGAAAGAAAGGAAAAGTTTTAAAAAATGAGGAAACAAGAAAAACATGGAAACAAAGCTTTTGTAAATTGAGAGAGGTGGAGGAGACTTGAAGGGAGGGCAGGGGAATGGGAAAAAATACAAGTCATATCATGTACAAGTACAAATTCTCTATGATGAATGTGATCATCATGTAGATCTAAAATATACCAACAAAATCTGTTTGAAACAAATCCACTCTCCAAGCAACCCTGAACCTCTAAAATTAAGTCCGAAAATAGATCTGAGAAAGACCCTTAACTAGTTTCTACAAAAAAATCAGATTCAAATGTATGTATGAATATTTAATGGCTAAGTATGAATTATTAGGATGCTACTAGCGAACTGACACTTGAGAATTTAACAAATTCACCTCTCCATGAGTAATGCTGGGAATTTAAGTGAGCACAAAAACATAGCAATCATTTCATTTCCTTAATAAAATTTAAGGGTCACTAATGTTACTTCTTCATGTTCAATTCAAATTGTCACACTTGATGTGCTTACCAAAATAACTTCTATTAACTCTCAGGAAAACACATCTTGGAACCGAATACAGACAAAAGGAATTCATCCATGATGAATGATATAAGCTAGCTCATTACCGGTCTAATGAGTGCCTCTGCCACTTTCCGAGGTAATCCTGAGAAGTATATTTTAGTTTCCACAAATCCATTTGTAGCTTTAAAGAGGCTTGCAGGTTTATTTATATTCATCACAGCTTCTTTAGCTATTTTGATACTAATACTGTCTTTTAATTCTTCCACAGACACCTATAAAGACAAAAATTACCACATAAAGAGGTATCACTACATGACATTTGAAAGACTGTAGTGAAAAATCCTGTTTATTTTAATAAGTTATTTTCTAAAATAATCACTTAGTTATAATATTGATTTGTTTCAAGCCATTTGAAAAGTCAAACTATAATGTGATTAAAATGTTTTAAGATAACAGTATTCAATAAAAAAATTAAATGTACATCTAATTTTAAGATCAAAAATATTATTAATTTTAAATAGTCAATAATATAGCCAGGCGTGTTGACAATGCCAACATTCCCAGCACTCAAGAGGCTGAGGCAGGAGGACTGTCGTAAGTTCAAGGTCAACCTGGGTTACAAAGTGAACTCAAGTGAATTGAGACCTTGTCTCAAAAAGACAAAAAACAAACAAACAATATATATATATATATATATATATATATATATATATATACACACACACACACACACATATATATTATATATAATCAATGGCAGTATGCCATAAAATTGACAGTTTTAAAAAGAAAAGTAAAGCTGGATATGGTGGTGCGTGTTTGTAAGCCCAAGACTCAGGAGGCTGAGGTAGGCAGATGGTTGCCAGTTTGAGACCAGCCTGGGCTACAAAGTGAACTCAAGGCCAGCCTGAATTGCATAGCAAGACTCTGCCTCAACAAGACTAAAAAAAAGAAAAGAAAAAAAAAGTGAGCCACTGTAAGAGAAATTTTAAGTATTCTTATATTAATATTGCTTGATAGTACACATATGAAATCAATTTTGTAAATAAGTTGTTATTATAAATTAAGAGAAATCAGACTATTTCAATATTCCACTCAGTATTCTCGCAAATTATTTTCTTCCAAAATCTAGAAATAGTTGAAATCTTAAGGACACACATACATAAAAGTATTTTCCAATTTTGAACATAGTTTTAAAAATGGTTATAAGAGATGGCAAACTATGCAAATATTTTTAATGAGATGCCACAGTACCCATTCAAGAGCAATTGGAAAATCTGGAGACAGGAAGTAATTTTAGCTGTCACAATTAGTAGCGGACATGCAGTACTGCAAGATGCTACACTTGTACAATATGTAAATGCAAGATAAGTAATAATATAGCCGTAACAGACATTTATGTGGGCAATACTTGTACTTTTGACTACCTGAACTTGTGCATATATAAACACAAAATATTTGTTGCATCAATTTAGTACTCATTAAATTTTTCAATAATGAAACAGTCTTGTAAGCCAAGGCTACAGTTATGTTTTTCTTAGATCTTTATCATAAATTTTTCATCATTTTGGAAAATTAGCAATAGCAACACCATTTATGCATTTAGGATATTCGCTGCTAACATGACATCCCAGTGTAAGTCTTTGTTTGTAGCCTTCACATTATTCTATGTAAGTAAGCAGGTTTTGGCAAGTATTTTAGGTGTATTTGAGTATTTATATACTGAAATACATGTGATGGTTTTATAAATTACCTTCCCTTTATTGGCTTAAATAATGAGCACTGCATCTCTTAGGTCTGTGTGAATATATCTAATATATTATTCATGCATTTCGTTATATATTAAAGGAACATTCTTGTATATAATCAGACACTAGATGAGAAAAAGTTTAGGAGTGTTGATCAACACAAATTCATGGATTTAAAACAGTTCAAAAATTTGAACTGAAAACTTAACCTTAAAAACATATCCAGAATCTGACAACTTTTTATCATTCCTAATAACAGCAGTTGAGCCAAAGCTGCAGCCTCTTCACTGGGGCTATTTTTTTAAGCTCTTAATTCAGTACTTTAACAATTTATGATCTTCATCCATCTTCTTTTTCCACTTTATACTTTTACTTTAAAAATTACTATTGCTGCCTTATATTTTACAGGCCTATAACTTTGATGGTTCATTAATAAGTTGTACTGTTTCAATATACTTTATTAAGCATATAAATTATGTCAAATAAATAAATATTCTAGTTAAGCATTTTAACTGGCAAAAGTGATTTGAATTAATCTGTAAATCAGAGTATTTATTCAAAAGCAGTGTTTCATTTCAAATGTTTTAAAATTCCAAAAAATGTCCTGAAAATAAGACACCAAAATGTATAAGTACAATTATTATTATTATTTTTTGTCTTTTTCCTTTTTATCGGTACCGGGGATTGAACTCATGACTGCCTGCTTGCAAGGCAGGCGCTTATGCTGCTGAGCTAAATCCCCAGCCCAGTACAATTATTTTATAATTCAAGAAAAAATAGCTATGGCTCTCTGGCATGTCTATAACTCAGAAAAGTAAATATTAGCACTTTATAAGTGATTCTATCTCATGTTGGGGTAGTATGGTAATATTTAGAATAACAGACATATAATTTATCAGAATTTGTAATTGTATCGTCATTCTTCAACTAAGTTTTTATCAAGTTATTTATGTGCTGAATTTTTCTCTAGGTGTTAAATATAGAGTGATGAATAAAGTAGAATTACTGCTTGTATGAACCTTGAATTGTACTGATAAGCAAAGAACAAATCAGATACTAATGCAAAGAGGAAAAAGAAAATCAAGAAAGAGAAGGCAATACACATGTTGGAAATTAACGGCTTAAAAAAATAGCTAGCACCACAGTTCTTGGTATGTTGAACTTGTTCTCTGACCTGCCTGTATGCGAAACTGCCCTTTGTTTTTCTACTTTTAGGATGACATTTTAATTAAAATGAGTATGACATTAAGTAGTAGTTTAACAAGGATTATAAACACTGGAAATAAAGCATGGAACTGAACAAACTGGGTTAGCTTTCCTCGATCAGCAGTAATTTTTGAATAAACTATTATGCCTGCTAGTGATCCCCAACTTACATGAGAGATACCATTCATCATTTGCCCAAAGAAAGCCACAAACAAACAACTGAAAACAATGTTAGTTTCAGAAAATCACTACATATATGAAGTGAGAGTATCATTTCTCAGGCTGTTTCAGAGATTTACAGGATGGAGACAGAATATATAACATTAGATAATCCAACCACTTTTGTTTTCTATCATGAGAGAAATAAAACTTAATTTTATTTTAATTATATTAATAAAACTGCATTAATGTGGGAAGAGCCTTGTGAAATCTTCAAAACATACCATATTCCATACACCATCATTAATAACAGCACCTCCAGTTGTGATTTGTGTGGTAAACTCATTCTTCAGCTGAATTTCAAGCTTTCCATCACGAAGGGCAATCAGAAGCCAAGCGGAGTGGTCTAGGGACTCGGCAAACAGTATAACACCTTCCGAGTCATACGTCCGGAAGTCAAACTTAGCCGAAAACCTAAACAACGGACAAAGAGACGTCCTTAGCAGTAAAAATATGGACAGTCTCAATATATTACATCCTTTTAGAAAACAGTAATATGCTGAAAAGAGTCCAATTCATTTTGTTGTTTGTTAATAAAAATGAAAATATTGAATTAAAAGGCTCATGTATTAACTTTTGGTTCCTGTAGGTTTAAAATCCAGTTATATATGTTTGCTTATACTTATAATCTTTTTTTCAGTAAACAGATGCTTTGGTAATTTTTAATGTTTTTTGACACATTCTGAAGTTATCTCTCAAATGCTTGAATTAACACACATATGTAAATTTTAGACATACTACATCTTTCCTAGAACCTTTTGTATGCTACAAAACCTAATACTGAACTGTGTCTTTGGTGGGGGGAGATGTGGCATTCATAGGCAATTAGTAAAAGATGTTACAATTTCATGATTGATTTTTCTATTGAAAGTCACTTTCCCCTATGACTTCACATATGTCAGTAAGGGATCACCAGGAAAGCTTTACAGCATAGCATCTAGAAGGCTGCACATATAATTAAGCAGTCATGTGTGACAAGGATGGTAAAAATAAAAAACTTTGGGCCACAGATATGGAAGAGCAGCAGCCACGGCTCTCTACCACCCCATGGCCATGGGCCTCAGCAAGAACTGAGGTGCCCAAAGATGTGAGTGAGCCAAGGCACAGTCACACATGCCTCGCCAAGCACACAGTTCCTGTGGGGACCATCGCAGAAGTATAAGCTCATCAACAAAAGAGAGGGAACATGCTCTCCTGCTAAAATGAATTCAGAGCAGTGAGCAATGCTGCCTGCCATCCGGGCCCCCAAGAGAAAGGCATCTGCCCATATGACCTGAGCCCTTCTTCCTTCAGTGAATAAAACAGACTTTACCAAAAAAGAAAACTAAGTAAAACAAAAACTACTTCGAAATGAATCCATTCGATTTATCCCAAAAGTTCTCCAAAATCTCTAACTGCATAAAATCCTGCAGTAGAATACATGGAAAGAAAGCTTAACAAACATTGCATGGTCTGTATTGCGGCAGGGCTATCTGAGTTCTGACAATGCTTGACATTAATAAGACTCTAGAAGTAAATGCAGTATAGCTATGACAGAGAAGAAGAAATCCTAGGTGATACTGGATTTAAAATGTGTAGACTGAGTGCGCTTAGAACACTTAGATGGGAGTCAGTACTAAAATCTCCAAGAGATCAGCTAATCAAAATGATTTTTAAAAGACAAAGAGGAGAAAAGAAAAATAGTTGCATAAATTTTCAACATAAAGGTAATTTAAGTTAAAATTTAAGGGCTTTTGATAATTCTAAGGGGAAACTCACATGGTTATCATGACATTTAACAGTAATGATAACAGTGGCATCATTTACAATGGCAGCACAGATCTTGCTCAAAGGGAATAAAGACAACAGGGCAGAGTATACTTTCTGCCTTTTGGATTCTGATTAAATATGTGAAAGCAGGACAATAAGGAATAATGTTGAATAGATATCAGTGTAGCAAGAAATTCCACACTTCAGTTCTTATTTTTTTTCAGTTCATACTTTAAAAGAATCATTGTGCTTGGAGTGGAGACTTCCACCCCTTTTTATCATTATGTGAGCACTGTGCTAATGTGAACCTCGGATTATCTTGCCAAAATCCCTATCTGTGTGTGTCAGGATCTTCCAGAAGTTGATCTTATTATGGAGAAAAATTCCTTTTCTTTGTAAATCACGCTAAAATGGTATTTCAAAGAATTGTGTCTTGCATATTTTGTATCTTGAATATCATCAGCATAATGATTCATCACTCTACTTCCGAAGTAATACAGAATGGGGAAAAACAGTGAATTTGTTAACATTTAGGTAAGAAAAGTGATTTGTTTATGGGAAACAGGTGGAAGAATTTGCTTAGGTAAATACTAGCCTTTTTGTGTTGGTTATACAGGTGGTAATTTCTAAAATTCATCAAAGTATATGTTTAAAATATGTGTATGTTGCTATATGCCTATATATTATACTTTCAAAAAGTCCAAACTATATAAATAAGAAGGCAACAAAAATTACAGAAATAATTACTTGGCTAATTCTAATCCAGTCTTAAGTATCAAACTATGTATTGTGAATTGTCTGTTAGAAATAAATACTCCTAAAAGTAACTGATGACACACTATAATTAATATTTTTTTCTCTTATTTCATTATTGTCATAGCAAGAAAGGATTGTATCTCATCAACCTCCTAGAAGATATTACACATTATGAGAATTCATGGAGAAAACCAGATATTAGAAGAAATAGAGAGTTGAAGGGGAAGCATAACACATGTGAATCTTAGCATAACTTTCAGTATTTTTAAAAACACTATAGACTTCTGGGAGAACATGGAGGATAGATAACAGCAGCTATGGAGGCTCTCTGAGATAGCCAGCTTAGAATCCAGGAATGGTGCAGTGTGAGAAGTCCTAAGCAAGGGGAAATATACACTGCCGACCCAGGAACAAACTAAGCTGAGAGAAACCAACTGGAAATGCAATCCCAATGCTATGATCAGAAGATAAAATCTCAGCTCCGAAGCTGGAACCCGCACCTCTGGAAACCTTGACTTGATTTTCCTGCTGCTGCTGCATCTGAATCAGTACAGCAAGGATAGAGATGCAAAAGCTCTGAGAGTGGAAATTGGCGAACCTAGTTGAGAGCAGGCCTGGCAGGGAGCCCTGCATCGACCTGTGGTATGTGAGAGGAACATTTAGACTAGGAGGCCCCAATAAGGGCATTCTGGGACCGGGCAGACTAGCCAGAACAGGACACTGCAGTGACTTTAGTCACATATTCCCCTCTCAAGCGGGACTGGTGTGGAGCACCTAACCAGGGTGAAGCCACGGACCAAGACCCAGTAGGCTAGCCCAAACCAGGTTCCAGCACCTGGCAGTGCACCCTAGCAGTGAAGCCTTCAGTAAGTTGACCTGGAGGGGTGGGCCCAGCAGAGGCTGCCCAGGTTTGTGTCTCCCTAGTACACTGCAGTGGGCGGGAACATCTAGCCAGTGGATTCAAACAAACTGTAATCCACAAAGAAAGAAACTGGGCCTCCTATATATGCCTGTATGGAAGGAACAAAAAATATGAGAAGAGGAGGCAACAAGAAAGGGTCCTCGGTCCCTAATCCTGAGAACATTGATCCAGGAAAGGTAAATGCAAAGGAAAATGAGGACAGAAAACATGTAATATCAAACACGGCACCAATAGACATAAAGCAATATCTCCGGAGCCTGATAGACAAGTTCAAAAGTGAAGTATTTAATGAAGTAAAGCAAGATATAAGTAGAATAGTTAGAGAAATGCAGAAAAAACAGATGGTGGAATGGAAGAACAGAAAAAAAAGGGAAGAATTGTTTGATGGAGAAAATAGAGAAAACATAGAATACGTGAAGCAGGTTCAAAGAGATTACCAGGAAACTAAAAACTCTATTGAAAGCTGGCATAACAGCTTGAAAAAAACTACGGAAAGATTATCTGAACTGGAGGACAGATTTGTAATGTGGGAGCATGAAATGAAAAACTGCTTAAAAATAGCAAGGAAACAAACAGCAATAATACAAAGGCTAGAAGATAAGAGGATCTATAATTTAAGAATTAAGAACATAAAGGAAGAAGTGGAGACACAAACAAATGAACTACAAAGCCTAGTCACAGAAATAATCCAGGAGAATTTCCCTAATTTAGCAAAAGGTAAAGATACTCAGATGTATGAGGCATACAGGACCCCAGCCACCTACAACCCAAACAGAACTACACCCAGGCATATAATAATCAAAATTCCAGAAATTCAATATAAGAACAGAATATTAAAAGCCGTCAGAGATAAGAAACAGATCACTTACAAGGGAACACCCATCAGAATTACAGCAGACTTCTCAGCACAAACCATCAAACCATGAAGAGCGTGGGGGGAAATAAGTCAAGCTTTGAAAGATAATAACCTCCAGCCAAGATTGATATATCCTTCACAACTGTCCCTAGAAATTGATGGAGAAACAAGGTGCTTCCAGGATAAAGAGGAACTAGGGGAATTTGCAACCACCAATTCAACTCTACAGAGGATACTGCAGGACATTCAAAAAAAAGAAAAATACCAAGATTCCAGAAACATTGTGGCAGAGAGGCCACAATGAATGGAGAAGAAAGAGAAATGAAGACAAACTGACAACTAATGACAGAAAAAGAGCTCAACAGAAATGAGGCACAGAAGGTTGGATGGTAGGAACAGCTATATTGGAGAAAACAAGACATCATAATAGCTAGTGCTGATTTAATATCATCTTGTTTTGAAGTTCCATCAAGCTTTTATTATTCTATCTCCATCAGTCTTAACATGTTGTATCTTAATGGAATTTATTATATGTGATAATATAAACAAAAACTTTTATAGACAAGGAGATTATACAGAAACCATGGTTCATTTTCTGTTAGTTAGTTCTAAATACCCTGTAATACTGTCATTCTCTTAAATGGTTTTACATTGTCTTGATAAGTTTGACACTACAGTATACCAAGTTATACTCAAAGATTTCAAGGAAAGAGACACTATGGTAACAACTTTTATGTCGGGATATCTTGTGGTGAAACACTATTTTGCTTAAATGGTTATGTTCTGACCTGTGCTGTTTTGTTGTTATGTCCTCTTTTATATTAATCTTTTTTTATTATTTACTTTTTTATTTTTATCTTTTTAATTAAGGGAAAAAATAAAAAATAGCAGGATATATTATAGTAACCCACTTTGATTTCCTATTAACTTGATTTGAAACCCTGTATTGCTCTCACTGTCTTGTTTTGACTGATGTTCCTCTATTCTGTTTTGCTTGATAGTACCAAGTTTGAGAGTATAGGCAACAACTGTGAAGACAATTAAGATTCACTATGACGCCCATTCTGGTTTGAATATTATCTTCTTATGAAGCCCTGTAATGTCTCCAATGTTTTGGTTTTATTGGTTTTGTTCTACTGTTTTGTGCAATTTTATTATAACTGATGACATAGGCAATTCTTTTAAGATAGCAAGAGGCATTATGGTAACCATTGTTGATGGTTTTTACAGTATGTATTATGTCCATCCTTTTGATTTGACTGACTCTGATTTGTTATGTCACATTTAGTTTTATTCTCTTAAAAAAAAAGTAGTAAGAACTGTGGGACTAATAAAACCCAAAATGTGTAACTGTCATTGTACAAAAGACAGGAAAAGAAAGTGCTATAAAGAACATAACTGCATGAAGTTGGAACTTAGAACCCTGGGAAGCCAAGCGCCTCCCTTCCCTGGTAAGCGGCAGTAGTGTGGCCCACTGCAGCACGTCCAGGGGGAGAACTAGCAGTGTCTCCTGAGATCCTCGCCATGTTGGAACTTAGGACTCTGGGAAGCCAAGCCAGCATCTCCCCTCCCTGGTAAGCGGTGGTAGTGTGGCCCACTGCAGCCCTTCCAGGGGGAGAACTAGCAGTGTCTCCTGAGATCCTCGCCATGTTGGAACTTAGGACTCTGGGAAGCCAAGCCAGCACCTCCCTCCCTGGTAAGCGGCGGTAGTGTGGCCCACTGCAGCCCTTCCAGGGGGAGAACTAGCAGTGTCTTCTGAGATCCATGCCATGTTGGAACTTAGGACTCTGGGAAGCCAAGCCAGCACCTCCCCTCCCTGGTAAGCGGAGGCAGGGTGGCAGACTGCAGCCCTTCCGGGGCAGAACTAGCAGTGTCTCCTGAAATCCATGCCATGTTGGAACTGAGGACGCTGTGAAAACAAATGACCATTCTGCCTCCCTGCTTAGCAATAGTGAACCTACTGCTACATGGCCTAGAGTCAAATATCCCACTTCCCCTATCCTCCTTCTCCTCTTCCTCCCCGCCCATTAGCAAGTGGGAACCATAAATCTGAGCATCTCCTGGGACGTTGACCATAGCAAATAAGCATGATTTCCTTCTACCATTTCTTTGAAGGCAAATATTTTTATTACTGTTGTGCTCTTTTCTGATTAATGGTACTGCTCTATTCAATATTCTGTTTTGATAAGTTCTATAGTGTTCTATATTTCATCTCATTTTGATATACAGGATTGAAAGAACAACTATTATAAAGATAACAAAATATACTGTGATACCTATTACTGTTATCCCGGTAACCTGCTATGAAGTTCTGTACCAATTTCACTGTACGATCTTAGTTGGCTTTATTCTGACATGTTCTGTTGTATACTTTCAAAATAAAAATTTAAAAAAAAAAAGAACATAACTGCATGTATATTTAAGTGTATAAGATAGATAACCAACCATATTATTGAGTTTTGTTGGATCATTGAACAAAACTGTTTGCATGTCTACTTTATATGCTTTAATTTTGTAACTTGAACAACTATTTCTAAGATGACAAAATGTAATCTATTAACTAGTGATTTCCTACTGTTTATTTTTTCTGAAATTCTGTATAACTTGTACCCTTTTTCTGTTTTTTCTTTTTCTCCTTAAATAAAATTTTAAAAAAAAACATTATATTGTTAGTTGCATTCTTTAATGAATAACAGTTCATATATCTAACAAATTACAAACATTCATGTTTAATTAATTAGGATATCAAGTTTTAGACTCCATAACCAGCTTTACATGCATTTCTTTCCCATTAATCCAACAAAATTCCAATTCCTTTTTTCAAGTTTCAATAATGTATGATTCTGAGAAAATCTGACCATGTATTCAATCATAACTCAAAACATTGCTTTCTTAAAGTCAGTCTACCTGCAAGAACTACTGATAAAGTATTCAGATAGTAAACTAAAATTATCTAATCATCAAAACTACCAGTTAAGCAATCTTAAGAAATTTTCTTAGTAATTTTGAACATGTTGATATTCTGAAACCAATATTTTCAGTATTATTTATTTTGCATAACATGTGTAAAGAACAATGAAAATGTCACAAGTACAATACTAGGCAAATATATTTGCCCAGTTCCTTAATAAATATATTATCACTGGAAAATGAAGTTGGGGTAAAATAAAATGATCACTGAAGAATGACCTAGAATAATACAGAAATATTCTAGTGTGAAAATTAAATATGTACAGGAGGAAATTGTTTCTTGAGGGTTCTGAAGCCACAGATTGATAATATTTAAACTGTCTGATTGATAATATAATTCCCTACATTCTGCACTTTTCAGTCATTTTAGTTTTGTCTTTGTCTGCTTGACTTCTAGAGATTATCATTGTTATTCAGTCTCACCTGTTAGTTTCTGGCAAATTAAATTTTAAATATAAAACAACTCCTGCAAACTGTTCTGCCAAGTAAAGTAATTCATAATTTTTGTCAAGGTTCAAGGGAAGACACACTGGAATAACCTGGAAAAAAAGAAAAAAGAGTGCATACGTTATTTCTGGCTACTTGTGCTCTCTCTGGTTCTAATACACTGAAATAATTAAGAATACTGCTGGTAATAATAAGGCAGTATCTTTCACTTCCTGGTAAAGTCAAGGTATATGACCACCAAAAATACATGTTTTAAAGCTTTATTCAATGTGTATGGCTTCTGAGCTTCAGCTTTAGTACTTCCTCAGCAAATCTCAAGGTTAAAAAATTTCTCTTCAGGAATCAAAATGTATCTCTTATAGTGTCAGACATGATGCCTCTCACAATTGTATCTGAAAATTATTTTTATCGGGAGTTGGAAATAGATATAAGAATTAATGTACCAATATATTTACTATTGTATCTCGTGATACTCGTTTAAAACAAACAAAAAAAATTTCTGAACATGACTGTGTTCTCTAGACTGGAAAAGAATATTGAAAAATCTGGAAGGAATAAACAGAAGTTTAGATATCATCTAGTCTCCCAGGAGTCTAAGAGACAGTGATTTAAAGTCATCATACCTCTTATCAATTACTTGCTCTCAAAGATTGAAAACAAAATATTAAAATGAAGTTTTTAGGAATAAGTTCTCAGGCACATACTGTCGGGTCCTGACCTAGATCCCCAATCTTCCAAATGAGTGTACTGCTGATATTAAATAAAAAGAGACAAATTGTATGATTTTTAGGGCTCCAGGAGGTTCAAACCCCTTAGGGCTATGACAAAGCTTCTCTGGATTAACCCGCTTTTATTAGGACTAACACAAAAGGCAGAGAAATTGAGGAAAGCATTAGAAATGAGCAGGTCCTGGGGAGGAGGGTCACTTCAAAGACTTCCCCAAGTAGTAGGCTAAGCCAATTTAGGAGAAACATCGTATCTCCAAGATAACATTTATGGTAGGATTGAGACTGCAGGAGTGAGATGCCTGCAGCTGCAGTCTCTATACACTCAATTAGTGTTGGAGCCAAGGTGTCCACAGCTGTGGCCTTATCTTGCCCTTGCAGGTATCTCTGGCCTCACAGGCCACTACAGGCCTCAGCCAGGACCAGTGATTCATGCAGGTTCACTTACTATGAATCAGCTCCCATTGCCAGATAAGGGGCCCAGGCCTAGGGCAGACTCACAGATAAACATAGAAAGCCAATTAGTAAAACTTAAATCCTGCTCAGAGCTGCTGGGCAGTGGTCCCCAATAACATACAAGGATATTTTGAAGTAACTGTGTACATAGCTGGACATTAACTATAGCCTCAAATACAATTTCATTTTCTTATTTTAATGTCTATTCCAAGGTAGACACTGATACGTAACTACAACAAATACTGAAATAAGAAGAGATCACACTGCAAAATAAGATACACAGCATGACATTTTAAATAACCAGACACATACACCAACTGCTTTATCTTTCTTCATCAAGTAGGTAGCATGATATTGAATGTCAATTTTTCTAGACACAGACAACTCTGTCTTGGTAACACGTAAGACAGTAGAGGTACACTGCATTAAAACATTAGGAATTTTTAAAAATACCCTGCACATAACACATAATCATATAATTTTACCTTCACATGTTAAAAAAGAAAAAAGTATCACTAAACTTAGATTCTTATTTAAAAAAAAAAAGGTTTCAGATGTTGAACTGTTTATTTCAATGAGGGAAAAGCTACAACCTATGTGCAAAGTTCGATCGAATTCCTAAGTAAATTATGCATTAAATCTAAATACTAAAGTTGAGAGACACAGATTAACAAAGTTGGCCTCTGGAATTTGAGTATGTCGCACCCATTAAATTCTATTTTATCACAAAAAAAATTTAAAAATTCTATTCTATCAAAATTGTTCACACCTAAAAATTTATAAGTACTCTTACAAGTATTAACATGCCTTAGGTGAGATCAGACTTGTCAGAGTGAAGTACAGGGAAGTACACAGTAGAGAATGTTTTCACTACTAAACTTCCCATGTAAGTTTTTTTTTTCACACACATAAAAATAAACCTCAGCTTTTCTGGGTTTCTTAACTAAGCGTACACATGGCATTCTCTAAAAGTACACACTATCAATGAATACTTTCTGAACTGTTATCCTGAAAGCTTTATTTTTAACAAAGCCATTAGTAATTCCCAATTTTTATCATTTATACGATCACACTGAGTAAATATGTACTGTACACTTAGCACTATAACAATAAAGTATAGAAAATCTGTATTTTTTTCATTTATATCAGTTATGTAGAAATAAGTGCATAGAGCTATCATTTTAGAAAAGAGGCAAGAAGTTTAGCATTATAAAATGTTTACCTCACAGCTCCTCTGGTCTTGGGCAAGTTTGAATCCCTTCTTCCCATCACAATAACAAGAATAGCTCCCAGGATAATTGACACAAAGTTGAGCACACATATTCTCAGCACATTCATCTATATCTGTGGTAATAAAAAACATAAAGTTTACTATCTCCTAAATACTCAGTCCAACAGGCAGAAGAGTATTCTATTTTATTAATAATATAACAAAAATAATTCCATAGGGAAGATAATTACATGACATCAAGTCATACTTAAACACATGAAATTTCAAATGAGTTACAAATGTATATTTTACTTATTTATACACTTGAAACAAATTAGTAACTCTAATTAATGGTAGTGTAATAATTTACTAAATTTTTTATTTTGAATTTGAAGAAATAAATGAGCATCTCAATTTAAATGAATGGTATGAATTTAAATGGTTGTATGAATTTTCTTGAGATTACTTTCTAATTGTTTGCTTTGAAGAAAAAAAGAGGGAGGGAAAGAGAGACAAAGGGAGGAGAAATAGGAAAGGAAAGAGGAAAAGGAAAAGACAGAATACAGAGAAAGGAAAAGAAAAATAGGAAAAAAAGGAGAAAAAACCTTTTAACTAAACTGAAAATTAATGCATTGGGAATTTAAATCACAATCAAAGAGCATCTGACTTTTCAGTGTAATGATTAATGGCGGCAGTAAATGTAAGGACATATTTAATCTCTCATCTTTTCTTGATTCAGATCTCAGTGTGATATTACCTGCCACATTGTGAAATCTAGCGAGTCCTTATACCTACCCTACATTTAGAGAAAATCAACCTTGGAAATTTTGTGTAGTATGCTTAACCTGGAGTCCATTTCAGGAGTCCTTAACATTTTCACTGGATCCATACTTGTGATCTTTGAAAACTCCCAAATTCATTATCTCATACAAATTCTCATTGAAGTCTTTATAAAATTAAACCTCAAAGTTAGTGATCTCTCATATGCATTGAGATTATAGGATACATGATTAAATTTAGATGTTTACAGTCATATGTAAATATTTTTTGAAAATCTCTCACTTGTTGAATAAAACTGCAATATACATAAAGTTAGCTTACAATAAATCTGCAATTTCCTAAATTTACCACAGTAATTCTATCCGGAGTGCTAGGAGAGTAGAAATGATACGTACGGGGGTAGGGGCTAGGAGGAGTAAACAAGTAGGCAAGACATCAAAATGTCTTTATTTTATTCATTCATTCATTCATTTATTAATTTGTCTTTTTGAGACAGGGTCTCGCTATGCAGTTCAGCCTTGCCGGGGCTCCCTTTGCAGCCTAGACTACTCTCAAACTTGCAATGCTTCTCCTGCCTCAGCCTCCTGAGTGCTAGGATTACAAGAGTGCACCTTCATGCCCGGCTAAGACATCAAAATTTCAAGAGCAGCACATATAGTTGTAGAAAACCTATCCTAAAATTACTGATTTGGGCAAATGCATAGAACATAAAAACAGATTACAGGTTACCAGGGAGGCACTAAGAATAAGCTAACTAAGAAAGGGAACATATGGCTTAACAGTTATGGAATTTGTGGTTGAGGTGATAGTTTTGGGAACAGGTGATGGCTGCACAATAACATGAATGTAATTAGTGGCACCGAACAGTATAATTAAAATCGGTTATTAGGGTACGTTATGTGTCATATATATTTTTACACAATAGAAAAAGTACTGATTTGATTAATTTTTGTTTTTTGGTTTTTTTCCTTTGGTACTGAGGATCAAACTCATGACCTTGTGCTTGCCAGGCAGGCACTGTGCCGCTAAGCTATATATCCCCAGCCCCGATTTGATTAATTCTGGACAACATACTAAATTAATTTTGAACTTTTAAAACATTCAAAAGGAAACCAGAAATAATTTATGTATTAAAAAAAACCCTGTAACACATTGGAGCTAGCTGAGGCTGCTAAGGCAACACTGATGCATCTCATGGTGAAAATAGCACCTCAGGCTACTGATCAATATGGCTAAGCTTTGCAGAGCTTGGTTATAATTCACTTATGATAACTGAAGTGATACGTGCTCATGTCTTCCTTTTGCATCTATGAGTTTTTGCTTTCAGACTGAAATTGTCTTCGTCTCTGAATGTTACTTCAGTGATGTGAAAAAATGTGTTTCTCTTGCTTTAATTAAATATAGAGCTCTCCAAATTATACCTAACTTAAAGGGCTAATGAGTACCCTAACATTAAATTTAAAGGCTATTTATGTTAAATACTGTGAAAGGTAACCAGTGATTACCAAATTGATCAAGCTATATCAAAGATTAGAAAATATGACTTGGTGTGGAACAAAATGATGTTACTAAGTAACAATTAAGGTTCAAAAACTGCTCTCTCCAGCATCAGCAGTTACACTAGCAGCACAGTACCTGTACAAATCCCTGATTTGGGTTCGTATCTGTAGCCTTCAGGGCATTCACATATGTAGTCTCCTGGTGTGTTCTTGCACACAGCTTTGCCACAAACATTTGGCTTCTTAGAACATTCATCCACATCTATAAATGAAACCAATGTATTTTTAAAATTTTTCCAGTATGAGTGGATTCTATCAAGGAACATTATCTCTATTTCATGAACTATGTTCATTATACACAAAGAGATTAGATTAGCTTTGGCACAACAAAATAGTAAATCCAACATTACATTTTAGTCCACTAAATATTATTTCTCTATATAAATACATAGGAAGTTAGTTTTACATGTTCCTTTATCATCATAAAAAAGAAAGTTCTAGTGATTTTCTTAATTATCAGGTTAGAATATGAAAACAAATGGAAGAAGAGATTCAACTATATTCTTGATATTCTCCAAGTGTACTTCTAAATACATGTTTCTGAAGTATGATTTTCAAGTATATTCTCTTCTTACTGTATAGAAAATTAGGCTCATCTGCTTTACCCTATTTCCTTGGAAACAAGCTCTTACACTTGCCCCCATCAATACTTGAGTTCAAGTCTCTATTCTGCTCCTTATTAGTGTTGCTTGAAGTACTGAAGAGTAATTCACATTTAAAATGAGATTAAATAAGGTTTATATTTAGATAGTTGCAGGTATATATAGGTATTTATATAGCTGTAGTTAATCCAATATAAATTTTATTCATAGATTAATGCTTCAAAACTGTGAGACACATTTATTATATTATATAATGGGGGAGACAAAGAATTGATTAGAATTAGCTACTAGAGGACTTCCTGAGAACATGGGGACTTCCTGAGAACATGGTGGACAGACAGCAGCAGCTACTGAAGGCTCTCTAAAGGCTCGGCTCAGAGACCAGGAATGATGCGGACTAAGGAGATACGAACCAGTAGAGATATGCTCTGCTGACTCAGGAACGAACTGGGCTGAAAGAATCTAACTTAGAATGCAGTCCTGGCACTAAAATAGGAACAGAAAAATCTCGGTGTGGAGGCTCGACCCCGCGCCATTGGAAACCGCGGTTTGGATTTCCCGCCGCCCGGCGGCTGGCTGCCTCCACAGCGGCTCGGCAAGGAGAGACGCGCAGAAGCTCGGGAACGGGAGTCTGCGAACAGAGTCGGAAACAGGATGGACAAGGAGGAAAACTGACTGGTGGCAAGGTGAGCGAGAAACTGACTCCCTACCACAGTTTGACTCCAGCGGAGGTTTTTCTGGGCTCAGGCAGTCCTGTAAGAGCAGGGCGCGGTGACAACTCCAGCCGCACATTCCCCTCTCGGACGGGATTGGTGAAAGGTGCCTGGCCTGAGTGACGCTGCTGGCGGACTCCCTAGGCTGGCCTAGCCCAGATCCCAGAGCCTGACGGTGGCCCGGAGGAGCGACCGACTCCCGCGTAGGCTGCCTCCTCCGCAACTCCCTGGGGCGCAGCGGTGGGTGGGAACAACTAGCCAGCGCAATTTGATCAGGCTGTGGCTGACAGGCAGGGAAGCCGGGCCTCCTATGTAAGATTGCATTTTATAAGGAACAGAAAATATGGGGAAGGGAAGCAACAAAAAAGGCTCCTCGGCCCCCAATCCTGAGAAACAGGCAATAGTGGACACCGCACCAATATACATTAAGCGCCATCTAGAGAGCCTCATAGACCAATTCAGGAATGAAGTTATCAATGACCTGAAGCTAGAAGTATGCAGAATAGTTAGAGAAATGCTAAGCACCATCCAGGAAAAAGCAGATGGTGGAATGGAAGAACAGAAAAAGAGGGGAGAATTGCTTGATGGAGAAAACAGAGAAAGCATTGAGTATGTGAAGCAGGTTCAAAGAGACTATCAAGAAATTAAGAAGTCTATCCAAGACTGGCATAACAGCTTGAAAGAAACTAAGGACAGACTATCTGAATTGGAGGGCAGACTTGAAACATGGGAGAATTAAATGAAAAACTTCTTAAAAATAACAAAGAAACACACAGCAATAATACAAAGACAAGAAGATGATAAGAGGAGCCATAACTTAAGGATTAAGAACATAAAAGAAGAAGTAGGGACACAAACAAATGAACTACAAAAGCTACTCACAGAAATAATCCAGGAGAATTTTCCTAATTTAGCAAAAGGTAAAGATACTCAGATGTACGAGGCATACAGGACCCCAGCTACCTACAACCCTAACAGAGAAACACCCAGGCATATAATAATAAAAATTCCAGAAATTCAATACAAGAACAGAATATTAAAAGCTGTAAGAGACAAGAAACAGATCACTTACAAGGGAATACCCATCAGAATTACAGCAGATTTCTCTTCACAAACCATCAAATCACGAAGAGCATGGAGAGAAATAATTCAGGCTTTGAAAGATAATAATCTCCAGCCAAGATTGAGATATCCTGCACAACTGTCCCTGGAAATTGATAGAAAAACGAGGTGCTTCCAGGATAAAGAGGAACTGGGGGAATTTGCAACCACCAATTCAACCCTACAGAAAGTATTGCAGGATATTCTAAAAAAAGAAAAATACAAAGAACCCAGAAATAGTGGCGGGGAGGCCACAACGAATGGAGCAGAGAACAAAATGAAGAAGACAAACTGACAGCTACTGACAGAAAAAGAGCTCAACAGAAATGAGACAGAGAAGATTGGATGATAGGAACAGCTTTTTTTGGAGAAAATGACATCTTAATAGGTAATGCTGATTTAGTACCATCTTGTTTTGAAGTCTCATCTAGCTTTTGTTCTTCTGTCTCCAATGGTCTAAACAGGTTGTATCTTATTGGATTTTGTTATGTACAATAGTATAAGCAAAAACCTTTTAAAGACAAGGAGATTATACAGAGACCATTGGTCATTTTCTGTTAGTCGATTCTAAATACTCTATAATGCTGTCATTCTCTTAAATGGTTTTACATTGTTTTGATATACTTAATGCTACAGTATATGAAGTTGTACTCAAGGACTTCAGGGAGGGAGTCAATATGGTAACTATTTTTGGGTCAGGATTATCTGGTGGTGAAACACTATTCTGCTTAAATGGTTATGTTTTGATCTGCCCTGTTTCGCTGTTATGCCCTCTTTTTTCTCAATCTCCACTCCATTATTTACTTTTTTATTTTTATCCATTTAATTAAAGGGAAAAATATAGCAGGATATAATATAGTAACCCACTTTGACTTTCTATTATCTCGATTTGAAGCCCTGTATTACTCTCACCATCTTGTTTTTGACTGAGGTTCCTCTATTCTGTTTTGCTGGATAGTATCAGGTTCGAAAGTTTAGGCATCAGCTGAGAAGATAATGAGATTCATTATAACGCCCATTCTCGTTGACTTTTATCTACTTTTGAAGACCTACAATATCTCCAATGTTTTGGTTTTGTCGGTTTTATTCTTTACAGTTTTGTTCAATTGTATAACAACTAATGATATAGGCAATTCTATTAGAAATAGCGGGAGGCATTATGGTAACCATTGTTGATCACCTTGTATTATGTTTTTATATTATCTATTATGTCCACCCTTTTGACTTGACCGATTCTGTTCTGTTATGTCACATTTGGTTTTACTCTCTTCCAAAAAAGTAATAAGAACCGTGGGAGCAATGAAACCCAAAATGTGTAATAGTCATGGTACAAAAGAGAGGAAAAGAAAGTGCTCCAAACTATATAACTGCATGTATATTTAAATGTATAAGATAGAAAATGATATCACAGAGTTTTATTGGATCATTGAACAGAACTGTTTGCAGTATCATTGTTGGAATGTCCACTCTACAAGCTTTAATTTTGTGACTTGAACAATTATTTCTAAGATGGCAATATGTAATCCATTAACTAGTGATTTCCTACTGCACATTTTGTTCTCCTGTAAATCTGTATAACTTGTACCCCTTCACTGTTTTTTTTCTTTCTTTTCTTTTCTCCTTAAATAAAATAAAATAAAATAAAATAAAATAAAATAAAATAAAAAGAATTAGCTACTAGAGAAGCACTTATAAGGGAAAAAATAAGTGACAGAAATAGTTGGAGGGAAACGTAATTATTAATGAACGTTTTTCATCTGTACTAACAGAAAGACAAATTCAGAATAGAAAATACAATTTTTACTTTAAAAAAACTGGCAGGGCTTTCCCCCCATAGATGAATAGCCAAACTTTCAGATGTTATTCTGTTTAAAATAATTTGCACAAAACTAATGAACTCAATTCCTTGTGATGAGGGAATATTTCTGTAACTTGACTATACCAATGTCAATATTCTGAGGGTGATATTGTACAATGAATTTATTAAATGTTACCAATGAGGGAAACCAGGTAAAGGTTATCTATGATCTTACAATTTAATGTGGCTAATTAATCAAAGTAAACTTTGAATTTTTAAAAAAAGAATTATAAAATATGCATTCTTCTGGCTTGAGGAATATTGCAGAGAAACACATAGATCATATGAATTTAGCTTATAATAAATTGTTATGAATCTAAACTGACATCTATTGTCTGATGAAAAGTTTTATTCTTTCATATTTTACAATTACTGGCAACTTGATCTTTTGCATATCCACATCTTGGCAAATGTCCCATTGTAACAATTTTAAACATGTATTTCTAAAAGTTCTGTACTTTATTATTTCAGTCATAGTTAAAGGATTATTCAAATGAAGAATATAAGAGCATATGTTCTGGTCACTAGGGACCCCCTATTTTAAGAGAATTTTTCATAATTATATACATGTGTCTATCACAAGGGAGAAAAATAAAAACTTTTTTTTCTTTTTCTTTTTGGTTCCAAGGATTGAACTCATGACCTTGTGCTTGCCAGACAGGTGCTATGCTGCTGAGTTGTATTCCCAGACCCACATTCTTAAAAGTTTTTTTTCTTTTTTCTTTTTGGTACTGGGGATCAAACTCACAATCTCCTGCTTGCCAGGCAGGCACTTATACTGCTGAGCTAAATCCCCAGCCCCATATTGTTAACTTTTAAAAACATGAATTCTCTAGAAGGACAGACTTGAAGTATTCAAATGTAGAAATGTGATTGGGTATTATCTATCTATGTAATGCATATGGTATCAATAATGATAATGGTTTTCTATAACTGATATTCAAATATCTAATTATTCTACATACCCAAACTCAGATCTTTGAATAGCCAGATAAGAAAAATATATGGTCACTAAAGGCTAATGGTTTAGAGAAAACAAGGTTAGTAAATGAAGTTCACTCAGAGTCATTTAATTGTATTTTAGTATTACAGTATAGTAAACTGTAAAGCACTGAATAAACCTCACTTCACAATTAAATTCTTTATTTAAAATCATTTATAACAAAATGTGAAGCATGCACAAGGACCCTCTCCAACACACATAATGGGAAAACAGTAAAACATTTTTATTCAGTATTATAAACAAAAAGGCAGTTCTACTGTATCTATCACAGCGCTTCAAAGTGGATAAAAATGTGTATTATTATAAACACTTACGAGCAGTGTTCCAGGAATTCCTGGAGAAAGCCTCTAATGGAATTTTGTTCTCACACAGTAAATACATTTTTATCCTAATTTATTTTATTCTATTCTAATTTCTTGCTCTTACCTCTACAGTCTTTTTTATTTGAAAGCAAATCAAAACCACTTCTACAGGAACACTGGTAACTTCCAGGAGTATTATCACAAATCTGGCTGCAACCTCCATTTACATTTAAGGGATCTTTGCATTCATTTATATCTAAAATAAAGAAAATCAATTATTTTTAAAATAATGTAAGCCTCAGAGAATTTTTCATATGTCCAATCCAGATGAATCAGTTGGATTACACATACCAAATTCACACATGTTTCCTTGCCAGCCTGGTTTACAATTGCAAGTGAATGTAGCTTGGCCGTCTACGCAGCTCATATACCCATCTTTGTTGCATGGCAGAGGATCACACTGGTCTGGAATAGCTGAAGGAAGTAGACATCTATTTAATTTTTCATGCTGTGATAAATACTATTTGTCCTTCAATTAAAAAAAATTTACATGAAGCCTAAAACCAATGAAAAAAATTGTGACTTTTTCTTTCAAATATTTTTTTCATTAGAGGTGAATCTACTAACAAATGTTTATAATTATTTTATAAAAGAACACTACTTTTACCTTTTAAATATGCATAATACTTTATAATCATAATGTAGAAACATGTTATTTTATTTGAAACTTAGAATAATTCCATGAGTAAGACACATGAAACAAACTTAACTTAAAAAAAATCACATGGGGCTTGCAAATTAGGCTATGATGGAGTAAATGGAAACAGATTTATTCTCCTGGCTTACACAAGTTGAACTCTGGTAAAAATATGTGGAATAACTGTTTTCAAACATTAGAGAAAATTATGATTTCTACAGGAAAGGAATAAACATTACTAGTCTTGCAGTTGTACCACGTTACTGCCTGGAGACCGTTTCAGTGCAACAGTGCACAACTCAGGTAGAGGGCAAGATCTCCTCAGGTTACAAAGACAAATACCAGTGTTTGAGAAGGTCCAAATAGAACTTTGCTAGTCAGGAGACAGTGCAGACAGGAGAGGACTGCGTGAAGGGGACACAGAGAAAGCTATTGACGTCATCAATCGAGGGTTTATGGTTTAATAATGATTGGCACAGGACAATTTCCAAAGTTCATTTTGGACTGCGAATGCTTCATTATATTTCATGCCAAGGCTGAAATATGATACAGAAGACATCAGATAGAAAGCTCACAAGATTTTAGCCCTCTAATTAGAGATACATAAGTTTTAAGTTAATGGTGCTTTAGACTACCCTAATCCACTTTAGAATCTAACCCCAGAAATTTGTTTTTAATTTTCTCCTAGTTACCTAGCTGAGCACCAGACCAAAGTCTCTGTTTGGAAAAGACAACAAAATTCAAAACCTAACAAATGAACAATCTGTTTCTTTCCCTTATTTTAGGAACTACAGTATCTATCACAAACTGTCTAATATCCACAGCTCCATATAGTTGATCAGTTATTTAAAGCAGAAGGGTAAATCTGGACCCAGTTATTACACTTTAGTCCACATTAGTAGTACAAAATCCTTTTCCCTACTTGTACTTAGATCAGAATTGTTTGTTTTATCCATACTATAATTTAAAATAACTAGCACACAAACTGGAAAGAAAATATGACCCAGAAACAGAAAATTCACTGATGGAAAGATATCCAGAAATGAGGTAATAAGCAGAATAAATTAATGTAGCTATTATAAATATATTCCATATATTCTAGTAGAAAACACATGGTAATGGAAAAAAATATATACACATATACATGGTGTAAAATATCCCAATGAGATTTAGGCATGAAAATTGCAATATGTGAAATGAAAAATATGTAAAGAAGGATTAAAAGTAAACTACACATGACAAAAGGAAAATAAATTTTAAACTACCCAATTTATATATAATGAAGAAAATACCAATAAGAACAACCAAAAGATAAATAGAGTATCAGTAACTTGTTAGAAACAATAAAATGGTTTGAAATATCTGTTACTAAAGTCCCATAGTAAGGAAAAATAGCTAGGGAAAAGAAAAAAAAACTTTAATTTTTATAAAATTTTCCTCAAATTTGATGAAAATTATTAAATTATATAGATCAAAGCACTTTAACAAAATCCAATAGAATAAACATAAAAATTTCAATCTGAATGAAAAATAAGTAACAAGTAGATAAAAATACAACATATAGACCTAGGAGATAACCACAGAAATGACAGCATATTTCTCATTAGAATCTACTTAACTGAGTGAACAATGGATAAATATCAATGTATTAAAAGAAGATTATTGACAGCATGGAAGAATTTACTTAATGAAATGATATGCCCCAAATAAAGGCAATATAGGGTTTGGGATGAACAAAGAAATGTGAAAAAATTCATCTCCATCAGATACGTGTTATAAAAAATACTAATAGAAATTCTTCACAGAGCACAAAAATGTTATCAGATAGAAATCTGGATCTACACAAAAAACTGGGTCCCAGAAACCATACCTAGTTGAGAAAATATAAACTAATATTTTCTCATTTGTAAATATATATATTAATGTATTATGGATTTTTGATATGTAACATTAAAGAAGAACAAGGATAAAATTAGAGGAAATAAAATTTTATTTTGTTTATTATACTACATGTATACTATTTTAATTTAATGTGTAATTTTTAAACTTACAGGTTTATATTATAAATTTCATGTCAAAGAGCAAAAAACTTAGGAAGTAATTAACAAGCAAATGATGAAGATAAAATGGAATCAACTATTTTAAAGAAACAATCCACAGAATTGCAGGGTGGACAGGAAATGACAAAAAAGCATATGGAATCAGTAAATTTATAAATGGCCTATGAGTTACACATAAAACAGACTGTCATATAAATTGAGTAAAATCACAAAATTCACACAAAAAAATATGTAAAATTGAAACTTACAGATATGTTAAAAATTAATGGGTGGAAAATGAATGCTAAAAGCACTAACCAATAGAAAACACAGGTCTGTGTGGTGGTACGTGCCTGTAATACTAATCCTAGCACTCTGGGAAGCTGAGGCAGGTAGATTGACATGATGAGCCTTGCTTGATTGAGCAACTTAGTGAGACAGTGTCTCCAAAAAGTTTTTTAAAGGGTTAAAAATTTAAAAAAAAATTAAAAAGGGCTTACCTCAGTGTATAAATCCTGGATTTAATCTCCAGTTTAAAACAACAAAATACAAAAAAAAAAAAGATAGCAGAAATGACTATATTAACGTAAAGTTGACTTCCAAAGAAGGAATATTACCAAGAAAAGATATGTCAAAAAGCATAAGTACACTCCATTACAGAGTCCTGTTTATCTTCTTCATCAAATGTCACAGCACACTGTCTTACATGACACGCTCATTGTTTCTCAATCTATCTGAGCTCTCTCTGCCCTCAGATGACTCTGCCGTGTTCCATTCGTGTGTCCTTCCTAACCTCTTTCATTGAACTGTAGAAGTTCCTACAGTCCTCTCATGTATCCCCCTTTAAGCTAGAGAGAAGAAATTTCTGCCAGTAGATCCATAAATAACTAAGCTAAAAACCTATTTAATTCAATAAGTTTAAAAAGTTCTTCATAAGAGCAAGTTTTTTGAAAAGCAGTGATAAAATAGATATTAGTTAAATGATAGAAAACAGGCTAGTAGGACATTATTACCAAACCATAATTATTTTTCCATCTTTGGTAAGTGAAAAAAAACCAATGAAGTATGAGCTCAATATATATGCTCAATTGTTTTACCCATGTGATTACAACCATTTTAAATGAGAGAAAATGAAGATAAGTGGATATCTTGATGATGCTAACACTGAGTGTAAAATGTTAACTGAAAAAACCTTCCAATTTATATCTTACAGTTTCACCTTTTCCTTTTTCACCATCAGTTAGCAAATTGGAAAATTAGATAAAAATAATCAATTAGAATTATCACTACGATTCTTCAGAGCATCCAAGCTAATGCGATTCATGTAACAGATTTCACATTTATACTATTGGTTCCAAAAAGTTAAAAGAATAAACATGGCTGTACTTTGATCTATTATTCAACTGTAACTTTGGTCATATTATACAATTATGCAACCACAGAGCAAAGCAGTTAGAAATACAGCTTCTGAAGTCAAAGACCTAGACTTTAAAAGGAACACTATTCAGCATAAACATTAGTAAAAATCTCATTGTTGGTATAAGAACAGTATTTCCAACTGAACAACATTCTTTCACATGGAGTCTGAAAACACTTCCCTGCTGGAGACACAATCCTACAAGGACTCACTTATTGATTTTAAACATCAATTTATCTTAACAGCTTTACTTGCAGGATTTCTAATTTGTTTCACTGTTTAAATGTATGGTAGAGGAGCTCACCTGTGATACAGCTCCTTAGGTCAGGGTAACCATTAGTGGACAGACGCGCTGAGGTAAATAATCCAGCTCGGAAAGAGCCAAGACAAGCTGAAGCAAAACAAAACATAACAAAACCTTATTAAGAGTAGTCAAAACTAATTGGTCTGAAATCACGGTAGAAAATTGTCCCAAAGAGATCAGATATTTATGTTCCTGTGAATTTACAAGATTCACAAGTTGTAGTATTCAAAAAGTCAATCCTAAATGTTTCCATCTACCTATTTTTCGGTTGACGTTTAACAGAATATTTCAATTAAACTGATGAATATTTACAAACTCTAGGCAAGTGTATTGCCTCTAAACTTTCAGATTGAGACAAAGTTTACATTTTTACACTGGATGATCATTATATAAAATATTCCCACTTCTCTTGTGAAATTATCATATTTAAAATATACTTCAATGAACACTGGATATTAAAACATGTCACACTATATAATTAGATTGAAAAGAAAATGCAAATACATATTTTGCTAATTTGCAGTCATCTATGAATATATCACAACACTGAAAAATGGAGATGGTCACACATGCAAAATTCTCTGGTTGTTAAGGAAGTGAGGGACCTTAGAGATGAAAAAGGAATCAGGTTATTACCAAAGGAAAGGCATCTGGTATGTTCTTGAGGTTCTCCTTTCATGTGAAGGCATAGAGCACTGCTGTTTAAACTAATCAAGAAGGCAGAATTGCATAACAATACTATTACCAAATAATATCAATGAGACAATGTCAGTTTCCTCTTGTTGAGGGATGTTATTTTTGCTCTTATGTTTTTTTCAGTACTATTCATCAAAACATCCTGTAATGTAATGGAAGCAATTATAGTCCTGTCCCTTCTACAACATCTAAAATTTCTTTTTTCTTCATATTACTATCATGTGCTACTCCATCAGTTAGAAGAGTCAAACATTCTCTCGCTAGATAAATTGATGCATTTCAAATTTTAGCTTATTTACACCATGGTTTTCTTCAATTAAATGTTGTAATCCAGGAAAGTGAGCACTTTAACCAGGCTGCACCTGCTCTGGGGACTATTTGAAAGCAAAAGTTTCCTTGCTTTCATCAATGTGTTCGTCCCCTTTCATGACTCTGAGAATCAGGATGAAGTCTGACATAGAAGGGCCACTTCAGTCCAGCTCAGACAGCACTGATGTCGGTACTCTAAATCTTTGAGAAAGACATTCAGAACAGAATAAAGACAGAAGAATGATTTCATGGAATGTTTAACTGCTAAATCTAGTAACGAACACTAGTCCTTTACAAACTTCCTTTGTTATATCATGGAGGCTGCTGCCTCTGCATGTTCCTCCTGGTTAATCCTCTCTCCCTCTATTTGCAATGGCAGCTAGGCAGCAAATAGCTGCAATCCTTCCTTCATTGTCCTGTTTGGCCTGCTCTCTATGCTTGGGATGACTTTTTCCAAAAGGTTTTTTTGTTTGTAGCGTTTTGTCACTCAGATTCCTAAAGTTTGCTCAGTGTGCTGAGTTTCTGATTCACTTCTAGTAGAAAACAACATATTTCCTCAGATTCACCCAGATCTGTACATATAGGTCATCTCCTTTTCTCCTTGTTTTTATTGACAATCATTCACTGGACTGTCAAACTATTTGAGCCTTTCCTTCACAAGGAGGCTTATTTGACCAACTGTTGTGTAAGTAAACTTTTTTTTAATCATCTCCAGTGTCCACTTCTAAGTTTCTGTCCCACTCAATGCAGGATGAAGCTAATTTCTCAGTTTCTGTGTGGAAGAGATTTCTGATATGTGGAACACCATGCTGTGGCTGAGATATCTAACCTTCACTTATTTCAGGTGATGCGACTTCTTTTATTGAAAGGCTTTTTGAATTTTTAGTAATAGTTTCATTTCAATCTAAACATGGTCTTTATTTCAAACTGTTAAGTGAACCCAAAGGTCATTGAAGTTAAATCTTACTGTACTGTCTTAGTAAAAAGTTTTACATTTTTTTATTAAGCATAAAATTGGGGGGGGGCCCTAGGGATTTAACTCAACAGCGTAAGCACCTGCCTGGCAAGGTCATGAGTTCAATCCCTGGTACCCCAAAAAAAGAATAAAATTTTTTTGTTGCTCAACTTCTATTTTTAAGGAGGCTGAGGTATACCTGTGTTTCAAAAAAGCACTGACACTTCTGACAGTCATGCTGTGTTAGTCAGCTGCTTACTGCTGGACACAATACCCAACACTCACAGACAAAAGGAGGAAAAGTATAATTTGGGATCAGAGTTTCAGGAGATTTAGTCCACACTCAACTGATCCCAAGTGAGAAAGATCCCATGACAGAAAGGCATGATGGGGCAAAGGGTCTGAGTTCACAGAAGCCAGAAAGCAGAACAGAAGAAATAGTGCCAGAAAGGAAGATACGACAGACCAGATAAAGTGCTCAAGGTCACACTTCCATGGCCCACTCAGAAACACCAAAAACTGTGATCCACCAATGTCTTGGATGGCTCCCAAGGCATTCAGGTTGACATAACCAATTTTACAAATAATACATGTGTATTTGTATACAGTCTTTAAAATACCCAATGGTTGAAATACACAATTGTTACGCATAATGGAATTCATCTGGTTTTTGCTGGTGGAAACTTCAGTTGTTTGCTTTTTTTATATATAAGACTTTTGTCTTAGTTATTTTTTATTTGTCGCTGAGACAAAATACTTGATGCCCAAACTTGGGAAAGGAAAGGTTTAATTTTTACAGTTTTTTGGAGGTTTTAGTCTATACTCAGTTGGCTCCAAGACAGGGTGGCATGGTGGGGCCCCAGTTCCTGGCTGCTGCAAACAGCAAGGTGGAAACTGGCAAGAGAAAGAGACACACCTTCTTTCTGCCATTACATTACATCCTTGCTCTATCCCTAGGCCGGTGTAGCACTCACACCCCCAATCTAAGCGCTACACAATGGATCAATCGCAAAGGCATAGGCATGAGGCCTAGGGGCCACCGACATAAATTATGACAACTCTGAATTCTCTGCATTTTTTATTTTCTTTTTTTTTTTTTTTTTTTGCACTAGTTTGTAAATATAAAGTATTTTCTTCACTGTCGACATTAAAAGAAATGACTTTGGTAAACTTTGTTTCTATTTTTTGGCAGCTTTTCTCTTTCTGGGGGCTTTTCTTTCTAGCATATCATCATTTATACTTCCTGTGATTGGCATTCTTATTGCGATAGTCCATATAATTTTTGGCAAAATTTAAAATTTACATGCAAAATTATCATAAAGATTAAGAAAAATAGGTATTTGGTAGCTTCTTTCTAAAAAAAATTAAACATGAAGTGAAAAGGACCTTGGGTTAGCAGAAAAATGTACTGCCACATAAATCTGTTTTTAATTCTGTAGCTGAGAAACACATAAGCTGCAGACCAGAAGATGACGTAGTGTTTATAATTAAATCAATACAAGTTAGTATTTCTCATCTCAGCAAGCAACTTGAAATTCTTCTAATTCTGCAGAGAGACTGATACAATATTTGTAGAGTTCTTTCACATCACAAAGTGGGTTTACTCCATTCCTTTTATTCCTGACTACAACTCTGTGAAATTAAATATAGCAACCCGGCATATATTGTTAGTAAATTAAAAAATAATAGCGGACATAATAGAGATATAATACTTAAAGCCCTATAGTAACTAGGGATCATATAATTCAATGTTGGAAACCACTATGAAGCAGCTCTGAGCAGGATTTTAAATTAACTAATTCGCTTTTTATGTCTGTCCTTGGCTTCAGCCCCTTGCCTGGCAACGGGAGCTGATTCATAATAAGTGAACCTCTACGAATCACTGGTCCTGGCTGAGACCTGTAATGGCCTATGAGGCCAGAGATACCTCAAAGGGCAAGATAAGGCCACAACTATGGACACTTGGCTCAAACTTCAATTAAGTAGATAGAGACTGCAGCTGCAGAAATTATTCCTACAGTCTCACTCCTACCATGTCTTCATGATAAGACAGTTCTACTGTTGACTTGATTCATTACTTGGAGACATCCTTGAAATAATTCCCAAGTTCCTGCTCATTGCCTGCACTTTCCTCAGTTTCCCCGCCCCTCGTTCTTGGATCTAAGAAATAAAGTGGGTGGTGCAGAGAAGTCTTTGTCTTAGCCCTCAGAGTCTTGAGCTCAACTAAAGAGTTTTGACCTTCCTGGAGCCCTAAAATTATATGATTTGTCTCATTTTATTTAAACCTCCACCATACACTTATTTGGGAGATCAGGGATAGAGGTCAGAACCCAATAATTCAAAAAATACAGTATTTCCTAATAGCCCCTGGAGACACATGTACCATGATATATTAGAATACAATATTAGGTTAAAGAAATAGTACATCCTATCATGGTTGTCTTTCAGTAGTGCCAAGAATTCTTAGCAGGTTTAGGTCTTGAGTGTTGTTACCTCTGATTCATTTGTTTCTTCTACTGCAAGATTTAGTTTATTCTAGTGTAAAGATTTATTTAAGATTATTATTTTAGAGAAAGTGACATTTTGTATTTCTAGACAAATCTGACAGTGAATGACAGCCAAACTTTGAAAGGCCTGTGGTGAAAGGTCCAAGTGAAATGCTTCGTTTTGTGAACAGGATCCCTAGTCACACTGCAAGGCAGATTTAACCCACAACATGCCTTATATGTAAGCCTACTAATGCAGTATGTGTGTGATAATGTCTTTATGGAAAAGCACATTTACAATTAAGGTGTGGAAAGCCAGTTACATGGTTACAACAAATCAATACAATACAGAACACTCATTTACCCATTTCTCTTTCTTACTGCAAAACAGGAATGCGTAAAATAGGGGAGAGGGAGTAGAAAAGAGGAAAGAGACTATTTCAGCTTTTGTAGCCTGAAACAGAATTTTCCATGAGAAATAGGATAAAAACAGAAATTAGAGCCATCATGGAAGAAAGGTTAAAAAATGAGCACTTTAAGGAGAATAAAGAAATGGGCTCGTTAATTAAAGAGAATAAATGGATACAGACAGTATGTACTAGGAACAGGATGTTGATTCTAGATTTATTAGGATTCCTATA